GTAGATATATTTTTCCTGAAATAATTAACAAAATGTCCACATTAGTAAATAAAATTTATTTTGTGACTCAAACCTTAATACACTCTACACATCACTTCTCATAATATATCAAAAATATAAATATAAAATTGAGCATGATTTTTGGCAACGTAAATATATATATATATATAAAATGTTCTTGAAAGTAAGGTACATAATACAACTATAATTACTTTTAATAATACTTTTTATTAAAGTAATAAAAATAAAATTAAAATATAGTTTTTCTCACATCACAAATATCACTACGAGAATTTATGAAATTGGCATCAGAAAAAACTTCTCAATCAATTTCAATACTACTAAAAAATAATATAAATAATAATAAATACTCCCTCCGTCCCACATATAATGTCCATGTTGCCGTTTCTGTCCGTCTTATATTCCATATCACTTTTCTTTTTTGGAAAACGATTATACATTTTAATCTCATTTTAAACTTTTTAATTTATTTTTTTAATTTTAATTAAAATAATTAGTTATTTTAATCTTAATTTATAATTATTTATATTATAAAATAATTATTTTCACTAATACATTCTTAATTATCTACTAATTACATCCCTCCTAAAATACAGTATCTACGGTGTAGCGGACACGGTACGTGGGACGAATGAAGTAATTTCTAGTCTAATTGTTTCAGAAAAATTCCAAAATATTTTTTATATAATATTATTAGATTGAAAAGATACATAATGTCTGAGACTATTATATGACTATTGTTATAAAGGTTCTGCATTTTCCGAAAATTTCAAATGTTTTCGAAAATTCCGAAACTTTACTATATATATTATTTATTTGATTAAAAAATTATTTCAGAATTTTTGAAGCTTTTATTATATGTATTAATTAAATAGTTTTAGAACTTCAAAGTTTTATTATATGTATTATTTTTTAGTTAAAAAAATTATTTGGAAATTTTCGAAGTTTTATTATATATATATTATTTATATTTAATTAATCAAATAACATCAAAAATTTTAAAACTTTATTATATATATTATTATTGTTGAGATAAATTAGATATTCTATTTTAGATTTAGTAGATTTATATTTATATTTGATCTTATTTATAAATTAGATTATTTAAATCCGAGTCTATCGAGTCTGTTTTGTATCGTCTATTTATAGGTCATTTATTTTGATGATATGTAAGACAATTTTTTATTTTCCACCACAATTTCTAACATGGTATCAGAATTTTTTTTTTCATGCCGTAGATATAGCCTACTAACCTGCGTTTCTCCGGGTACATTCAATCTGAATTGTACCCAGAGGTCTTGTGATTTTGAGATCATGCTTACTGGCTTACTGCTATCCTGCGTGCAATTTGTCATTTGTCCACCTCCTGTCTATTGTCTGTGTGCAATCTGAAACCTATATGCGATCTGTCATATATTCGTTGCTTGTCTGTTGCTTGCGTGCGATCTGAAACCTGTGTGCTATCTGTCATCTGTCTACCGCCATTGTCTACTGTTTGTCTGTTGCCATCTAAATCCTGTCTTCGATCGGTCATCTGTCCGCCCGCTGCTTGACTGTTGTCTGCGTGCAATCTAAAATTTGCCAGCGATCTGTCATTTGTCCGTGCTTGTCTATTGCATATGTGCGATTTGTTTGATGTTTGCGATCTATCTTGTTGGAGTCATATCGTTTTCAGCTCCGGTGGAAAGTCATCTCGTTTTCGACTCCGGTAAAGAGTCATGTAGTTTTCGACTCCGGTGGAGAGTCATGTCATTTTTTGCTCCGGTGAAGAGTCAACTGTTTTCAGCTCCGGTGGAGTCATGTCTTTTTCGGGCTTCGATGGAGAGTCATGTCGTTTTCGGCTCTCGTGGAGAGTCATTTCGTTTTCTGCTCTGGTGGAGTTATGTCGTTTTCGGCTCCGGTTGAGTCATCTTGTTTTAGGCTCCGGTGGAGAGTCATCTCGTTTTCGGCTCCGGTGAAGAATCATCTCGTTTTCGGCTCTGGTGGAGTCATCTAGTTTTCGGCTCCGGTTGAGAGTCATGTCGTTTTCGGCTCAAATAGAGAGTCAATGTCGTTTTCGGCTCTGGAGTGTTTTGCTGAATTTTTTTTTTTTTTTTTTGCGTCTATATTCAACTTTTTTTTTATCAAACTCAAGTTGATTTTTTTTTATATCATTTGAGTTTGAGGGGACGTTGAGATATTTTAGATATTCTATTTTAGATTTAGTAAATTTATATTTAGATTTGATTTTATCTATAGATTATAGATTATATTACTAAAATCTGATCTATCAAGTCTATAGGCCATTTATTTTGATAATTTATAAGACAATTTCTTTATTTTCCCTACAATTTCTAACAATTATTTTAATTAAACGAGCTTTCAAAAATTTCGAGACTATATTATATATTAGTTTATATAATTAAAATAACTTCTGAAACTATATTATATATTTTATTTAATTATATTTAAATAAATAAGTTCAAAAATTTTTGAGACGGTCCGAAAAATTAAAATTTTCTTCCAATCTCTGTATTTCTCTCCCACTCGCCCAAATTTCTCTCTATCACTCTCCCACTCTATATATACATATATAATAATATATATTTTCTTAAAGAATTTTAATTCTAATTAAAAAAATCAACAAATACTAAAACATTATCGATAGTCTTCGCCTACTCCTTTGTTTTTTTTTTTTTTTTCCTTTATCATTCTTATTTGTTTTCTTTTTCTTGTTCTTTTCAAAAGGGGATTAATATCTTATATCATGTTAAGAGTTATAAATTGAAAAAATAAATTCTTTTCTCAAAAAAGAAATTTTTCATAACTCTAATATATTTAGAAAAAAAAAAAAAGAAAATTCAAAGTGAGACTTATACAAATCAAATTGCATTTTACTTCCAAGGTCTAACCATATACAAAATAATAGACATATATATTAGATTTGAAATTTTGTTTTCGGCTTTAGAAGATAATTAGAGGAAGAAAATTTTGGACTTAGAATCCGATTTCGACTTCCAAATAATTTCTAATTTAAGGTGGTTAAGCTAACCTATATAATTAAATATTTATTTGGATTTTCTTTTATTCTATTTACATTCTTACATTTTGTGTATTTTTTAAATTGTGCTTAAAAATATCGTTGTAATAAAAGAATATTTGTGATCTCATTAGTCGATATAGTAAATATTTTTTAAGTTAAGTGTATTGATCCATTATTTTTTTTATATTAATCCTATAATTATGTTTCAAGCACTATGGCGTTATCGACATTTATGTAACACTATTTTTCTTCTAATGTCACTATAAGCATAATTTTTTCATAAATCGATTTGGAACAATTATAATTTAATTTTTATATAATGTCTTGTTTCTTTCGCATTAATTATATATATTTTTCTTTACATTTCACTTAACCACATTTATTTTCTTTTTAACTACTAGCATGACATTTATGTTTCAACCCAAAGTCTCATCCCCTTAGGCTAGAACATTTTGAATGTCGCCAAACACTATTCTAGCTTATTAGCTTATCGATTGAACATGAATATTATACTCGTATCATTTAATATTGATTGTAGCTCTTTTAAAACGGCTATATGCTTGAAGTTTATATATGCCCAATTAGAAGACATATTTTTTATTATTGGTAGTCATTACTATCCATTTTTCAAAATTTAAAATTTTTCTAAATAATATCTTGTACGTACATTCAAAAAAACATTTGATATTTGGATTTTTTTTTTTTATCGTTTCTTTAAAATTTGGAAATTTTATTATAGTTTCAAGCTTTTTTCCAACTGTGTTCCATTTTTTTAATTTCATAGAAGGTTGAAAACTTCAATAAGCTTTTATAATAAATTTATATATTTAATTTGATATATATATATATATGAACATTTAGTATATTTCATCGGCTTAACAATATCTTTAGAACATTAAAGATCTTACCAGTTTCACAGAATTTGCATTGGAAAAAATAGGTATTTGTTTTACTTATCTCTTTAAAACATGGTAGTTTACAAATAAGTCATGTACCTCTATTTGTATGCAAATCATCCTAATATCGATAAGATCTAATGTCTTTAAGCTAATTCACTAGAATATTTTAGGCAATAAAAAATGTACTATACATCTCTATAATATATTTGTAATTGATATAAAAATTAAAGGTATTATATATATATGGTATTGGTGAATGATTATTTTTTACTATAATAAAAAATTGATAGATTTGAACATGACAAAAAAAAATGATAAGAAGTGATACATTTAGTTGGGACGGATTGACTATATATTGAAATGAGAATATTATATTTTACATGTTTAATTGATAAGATGTTTGTATGAGCTCAACATGAATTCTTAATTAATTACTCTTTTTGTTCTATGAAATTATATCACTTTTTTTTTTTTTGGTAGTCAGCTAAAACGTCTATTATATTTATAATAAATGATTTTATTCACTCATAATATATTATACATATTTTAACAAATAATAATCACTTTGTCACTACTTTTTTACTTTATCTTAATATTTTTTTTTATCAATTTTTTAATAAATTTTTCATAATACTCTTCAATTAATTTTTATCTATGATACTTTAATATTAAAATATTATTATTTTTAAATTTATGTGTTTAAGCAAATTTACATAAGTTTGTTGGACCTGACTGTAAGATAAAATAAAAATATTATGGATGACGTGGGAACTTGCAGCCGCTACCCAAAAGTGTGCACTGGGTAAACCCCCGATCGAACCTAATACCCTGCAAACCAGACCCGATGGGAGTTATGTTTGATCTAATAAAGCTGGTGTCTTCTATCATCCAGCCATCTCCACCTACAAAATATATACATATATATACACATTAATTACAAAATATATTAATAAATAAATTCATTAATAATAAAAAATAATGAATATAAATAGAATAATGCATACCAAAATAATATTGTAATTCATCACACAAAATATTATAGTGTCAAATATTATTTAAACAAAAAAATTAAAACCTTCAAATTCAATTCAGACTTAAAACGAAAAAATAATAATAATAAAATCCAAAATTGATTCTAAATAATATCTCTATTATCTTAATTTTTTAAGTTAATTATGTTTAAAAATAATTTTATATCTCATACATCATTGCTCTAATGGTTATAATTAATAATGTGACACTTAGAAATGCATTCTAAAATCCACATATGCCACTCCCCTTAGTATAGATAAATTATAATACGATGCATGAAATTCTAATGAAAAAATATAAAACACACAACTAAAAGAAATTGTGTTAACTTGTAGGTTGAGTCTATAATTCTAACAAAAATATCCGGCTCGATGAAAGAAGAGATAGCAGGTCGAGGTGTAACAAGAAAGTACTTGAAAACTAATAACAAATTCTTGCATACCATGGTACATACTCTACTAGATCGATTCTCTATATAGATATGTAAATAGATAGATAGATTCGTGACAATAATTACTAGAATGCAAGCAAATAGAAATTTATAAACTTCGCGACTAGGAATTGTTTCACTATTTGTTAAGGTGAATATTAAAATTATTCTTAAAGTAGAAATTTATAAACTTCGTAACTAATATGTTTTCACTATCAAACTCTATAGCCAGCAAAACCTAAGTTTTGCTAGGTCCTCATCGAATGAGAGTTAGCCAAGAGAGTCCTCAAATAATGATTCCAATCAAATTCTTACTTTCAATTTTTACGAGGATCTCTATATTGTTTGAATTCTATAGTAATTCAAAATTGTTACACTTAAGTCTTTTAATTTTTTAACAAGTGATATTAAAGTCTTTTATAACTAACGATTAATTAAAAATGTTTGATTCAACATCTAATGAAATGAAGTTTGATGGACATATATAAATCACTTCAAAGAGAATACAAGAGCAAGCTATTTTTGTTAATAACTACTATAATGCAAGTAAGTAAATTATGATACATTGGGGTTTTTCTTATCTATAATGTATTCTAAAGGGGATTTAGTTTGTCTATTCTTCGGGGGTGAATATTCATTCGAATTATATTTTAGGTGAAGATTCTTGATCTTGGTGACAAAATTTTCTCACTATCAAACTCCCTAGCGAGCAAAACCCAATTGTCTAGCTAGTTCCTCATCGAGCGAGAGATAGTCAAGTGAGTTCTCCGGCAATTATTCCCGACAAACTTTGGCTTGGTTCCAACTTTGATGAAGATCTTGATATTGTCTAAATTCACTTGAGTGGGCCAAGTTTTCTCCCAAAAATCAAACCCTTCCATGTCAAAAGAATGATTCAAGATTCAAGTTATCATACAAATGGAGATCCCTTGTCTAACTAATTTCTAGTGATCTTAGTCCCAAATCTTTGGTATATTTTGTGTATTTCTCAATGCTTGTAAAAGCGATAAACAACTATTTTATTTGTTCTTATATTGTTTTGTTAGATATTATACTTTTGATACAATTTTCTAGTCGTTATAACTTAGATAACTTTTATGCTATTTTTTCTTTGTCTTTTTCTGTTGTAATAATTTTAGAAATTAGACATACAAAGTTGGAAAAATAAAAAAAATAAAAAAAACAATGTAAATACAGAAAAATTACAAAAAATTATGGACATCAAAAATCATAATAAATAGAAAAACAATAGACATAGGTGAGTTTTATTTTTTCCCAACTTTAAAGTTCTCATTTCGAAGTTATGTAATTTGTTCCCTTTGCTTTTGCCACAAGGGTAAATTATTTGTATTCTTTCTTTTCCTTACATCAAGTTTACAAGATTTTCCAAACAAAAAAAAAAAAAAAAAAATTATGATTAGTCTTAATAATATTTAATCAATTTATAAATTATTCGATTCTACCCAAAATCGTAACGCTTAGTTTTCTAACTTTCTAATATAATCGAAATTCAAAAGATGAATGAAATTCAAGAAAATTAAATGATTGTAATAATTTAGGGGCATGCCTACTAAGTCGTATAAGGGGTACGCTTTTAAAGTTTTAATTCAATTTTTTTACTATTTGACTTCACATTTTTTAAGAAATATATATTATATTCACATAAAACATAACATTAAACATTATTCAAATAAAAATATCGAATCTCAAAGAAACCCAATCATCCGACTTAGTAAACATGCCCCCTTCTATATAAGGTATATTTACGTACCATCGATAATCCCAACGTGGTCGAACTTTGGAGATGCGGTTGCGGCCATAGGGATAGTCAGACTCGGCCCTCCGGGTGTTTTGGAAGGCGCAACACCCGATAGAGTAGATTCCAATGAGGATGATGACCATGATAATATTTAGCACGGAGAGTTTGTGCCAATCACGACGAATATTTTCGAGGACACCAGCCTTGCACGACTCGCAATCATAGCACAGCACCGTCTCGGCGTTGTTCCAATGGTAGCAATCCTTCTCTTGCATCGCCGTTGTCCCATAGTTGCACGACGTAGGCGGCTTGCAACACCCCGACTGCGTCACAAGGTTGTACACTTCGTCAAATCGATGAAATAAATTGCAAATTAATACTCCTTCCACCGTCTAATTTTATGCTCACATATGTGGGCTAAGGCATTGATCAACTGTTGATCCGGTTAAGTCAGCAAGATTGAATTGATCGAATCAACATATGCTATAAAGGTAATTAATATATATTTATACATATTTCGGCATACAACATATGTTATATTAACATATTTTGCACTATGTATAAATATATGTTGGTTATGCGTATAACATAGGTTGATCCAGTCAAATCAATAGCACCGGATCAGCACTGAACCATAGCCTGTTGGTAAGTGTTTTAACGAGAATATGTTATAACTAGTAACTTTTGTCTTTTATAGTAATATATATATATATATATCTATAAGTGGAATATGATTTTTTTAGTAAAAAATAAATGAGAATTATTCAGTTTTTTAGCGGTTCAAAATGAAAAGTAAATATATATTTGAATAACACGAAAATATATACGTGCTATTTTCTGAAAGTTTTAAAAATAAAATTACATTTAAAATGGAAATAATAAATAGACAATACAAAATTATTAATAGACTAGGCGAATAGAAATTTGAAATTAAAACATTATTATCTATTATGATTATAATTATTGTATTTATAACTACATAAATTAACCATTTAAACGAATTAAACTTGACTATAATTTAAAATTGATTAAAAATAAAATATTTGATTTTAATTTTTGTTTAAATGATATTGATTTAAATTTAAATATTATATTTTTATTAAAAACTATGTGTATTGATGAATAATATAATAATAAATAATTTTAGAATTTAAAAAAAAAATGTAAAAAGAACTTGACAATTGACAAGAAAGAAAAGAAAGTATGAAAGCTTAAACTATTTTGAATTAATATATATATATATATACACATCATATATGAACATATTATTTTTTATACATTAAAATACTATTATGGTTTTTTCTAGACAAAGAGTTTTGAAATTTTGAGAAAAATTAAAAAAAGTAAAAAAATAATATTTAAAATGATATTTTGTGAAAGAATATATTTGATATGAAATTTGTAAAAAAAAAATAAAAATGCTGTAAATAAATAATACCAAAATATTTAAAATTTTATGCATAAACAAACTGTATAAATGTAATATGATTTCACTTAAATATTTTAGAAAAAAAATTACTCTAAATGATTTGTACGTGTGTTCATTTACAAAAAAAAAAAAAAAAATAATTATTTAATATGATATTTTTTATTAAAAATAAATAATAAAATATGACATTTTTATAATAATTTGTTTATTATTCATATTTTTCTAAAAAAATATCAAATCAAATATTTTTATTTTTTATTTTACTTTAAATATCAATTTCGCATTCAAATCATATCAACATTTATTTATGTCACATTAAACAATAATTCAAATTCAAATTTAAAATCCAACCCCAAACAAACACAACCTATATAATAATAATAATAATAATAATAATAATAATAATAATAATAATAATAATAATAATAATAATAATTTATTAAAATTTGCAACTATATTTGAAGTAGGGGTGAGCAAAATATCCAAAATTCAAAAATTCAATCCGAACCAAATCGAAATTTAAAATTTGGTTCGGATTTTTGGATTGAATTTTTAACAAATTTCGAATTTTCAGATCAGATCGGATCAGATCGGTATACTTAAAATCTGAACCAATCCGAAATCCGAAAAATAACATTTTAATATATTTTTTTATTATACATATTTAATATTTTATTAGAAAATATTATATTTTAATATAAAAAACTCAAATTTATTAATTATATTTTCATTTATTTAATTTTTATATATTTAATATTATAAATAATAATAAAATTTAAAAGAAATTTAAAAATTAAAAAAAATAATAATAAAAATATTTAGAATTTCGGATTTTTCGGTTTGGTTCGGATTTTTTAGTTCAGATTACAAATTTCGGATTTCAATTCGGATTGATTTTTTCAAAAATTTTGAATTTTCGGATCGGTACCGAAAATCCGAATGCTCACCGCTAATTTGAAGTGGTAAAAAAGATTAAATTAATTTGTGGTGGAAGAAATAATTAAAGGGGGAATATATTCAAATTATTTTAGAATATCAATTAGTATATTGTTATTTTATGGTATCATTCTCACTTACAAGTTGGGCAAAATTTTGCTCAATTTGCACTAAATGGAAAAAAGAGTAATGTTAAAGCTCTAAAAGGGAATAAGAATAATGAATTCTGATCACTAAGTTGTTGTGTTTTTTTAAAAAAAATAAAATAAATAAATCAATAAATAAATATAATATAATATAATATAATAACATTTCTTGAGAGAGGCAGACCCTAATGTATTTAATTTTATTTTTAAATTATTCATAAAAATATATTCATTTGAAAAAGTATCGATATTTCCTATATACTTCCTTGGATAATTATGTTACGTTTTTTCCCACTAAACAATTTATTATTCTTATCTTAATAAATAATAATCAATTTATTACTATTTTTCTACTTACTCACTACTTTATTATTACATTTTTAACAATTCTTTTTATAATACTCACATTTTATTTTTTATACCTCATATAAAATGGTATTCCCTCCGTCCCATTGAAAAGTTATCCTTTTCTATTTTTGTCCGTCCTAAAACAAGATTACCATTTCCTAATTAGTAATTGTACTACCTACCTAACATAATAAATACCCTTCCACCTTACACTATATTACACAAATGTCATTACTTTTATATTACACACGGAAAATTGCAAAAAATATCTCACACGTATACCTCATTATCACTTTTGTCCTGTACTTATCTCTCTGGCAAAATATATCCCACATGTTTTCAAAAGTCGCTATTTCTATCATTTGACCGCGCGTGGTCGCGCGTAAAGGCGCGTGGTGTGAATTTCACGCGCGAGAAAAAGACATAAATAACGACTTTTGTAAACATGTGTGATATATTTTGCGATAAATACAGGACAAAAGTAATAATATGGTATAAGTGTGAGATATTTTTTGCAATTTACTCTATTACACAATAGTAATAGGGGTATTTTCGTCATTTTCACTACAATCCATTATAATATTAATATTCAAAAATTTACGTGCAAAAAGTAAACGGCAACTATGTTCCGGGACGGAGAAAGTATTATTGTTTCATAGCATATTTATCCGAACAAAGTAAATAATTTTTATTAAAAATAATATATCAAACATATTTTCTATTTAAAAAAAATATCGAAGCCAGCTCTTTAGATTTCGTCTATTGGTAGATTTTGGATTCAATTTAACCATTCATTAAAAAAATTGTCTTGAAAATATTAAATTAAATATTTACTTTTAATTTTTATATTAAATTAAAATTTAATTTTATAATCAAAATATTACCATGTATACGAAATGAAATAATTATTCTAATATAAAATTCAAAAGGAATCTAGGTGGATAGCTTTAATGTTATCCTTAATAAAAATAATAATAAAAATAAAAAATAATGTGACAATATATATATATATATATATTATTGTGACCAAAAAGTATCTTAATTCTTAATATATATACAACTCTTACAATGATGATTCCCACTTCTGAAAATATAAAATCATTACCCAATAATTAAATGTTTAATAAATATAATATTATATTGGTTGATTGTGATATAAAATAAAAATATATATTAAATTATATGATTGAATTAATGATGTAAATAAATACTCCCTCCGTTTCACATATCGCGTCTGCTACACTACACCGTAGACACGGTATTTTAGAAGGAGTGTAATTAGTAGATAATTAAGAATGTATTAGTAAAAATAATTATCCTATAATATAAATAATTATAAATTAAGATCAAGATAACTAATTAGTTTAATTAAAATTTAAAAAAAATAAATTAAAAAATTTAAAATGACATTAAAGTGTGTAATCATTTTCCAATAAAGAAAAATAACATGGAATGTGGGACAGACAGAAACAGCAACGTAGACATGATATGCGGGACGAAGGGAGTATAATAATATATGATATAAATTAAAAAAGTGTAATTTTTTTTATAAATAAAAATGCATATTTTTGTGGAGATATAAATTAATTATGCAAGGGTGCTTATTTTTGACTATTTTCTTAATATTTCTTATTCAGTTATTAATTTTTAAAAAATATATTATTGAATAATTATGTTTTTAAAAAATAAATAAATAAATAAATCACAAAAGAAGGCACACTACTCTATGTAAAGATTGAGGTTTCTTTTAAGTTTTGATTCAATTTTTTATCATTTTAAATTTACAGAATTTTTTAACAAAAGCACAAAAATATTATTAATATAAAAATGAAATGTCCAAATTCAATTAAAATTGAAAAAATAAATAAATACAGTTTCTAGAGTTTTTGAATTTTTGAGTTAAAAAAATAATAATAACAAAATGAATTTTTAATACTCTCTTTCACTAAAATTATTTAATAAATTCGTTAAACTTATGTACAATATATTTATAAATAAATAATTTTATTGATCCATAATTATATTATATTTATTATTAAAAATAATAATTAATTTGCACGCTATTTTTTTTTATACTTATAACATTATTTTTTTCAGCAAATTTTTAATAAATTTTTTAGAATATCTTTATGGACTCAATTTTTTATCAGATAGAGCATTTTATTTTGTGAGAAATTATACATTTGAAGTTATAATAATTGTCAAAAAAATAAAAAATAAAAAATAAAAATAAATAATGAATAATATCAGAAATATAAATATAACTCAAAATACCTGAATAGGAGTCATATCCTTAGTCAAATAATCAAAGGGCGTCCAGAGAACAATCTTAGCGCAGGTCCGGGACCCCAGAATGCAACTCCTAATAGTCCCCCAATATCGCGGGTCCTGGACCCTCTTCCTAAGCCAGCCGGAATACGCCTCCAGGTGGTACTCCCTGTACATCCGGCCGGCCACCGGCGTCCCTCCGCCGGCCGCCGTGACGACGAATCCGAAGACCGTGAATCCGATCAGAGCTCCGATGAGCAGCAGCATCACCGCCAGGTAGACCCAGAGCGCGCAGCCGACGTGGAAGCAAGCTCCGATGAACCCCGCCAGAGAAATTATGAGGATCACGAATCCCACCACCAGCAGCGGCGTCTGGAGGAAGCTCTCGCAGGTGGTGGAGCTCCGCGCCATCCAAAGTCCGGCGCCGATGATCGGAATCGAAGCCAGGAGGGTGAACAGGTTCAGAAACCCTATCACTGTGTTGCTCAGTCTGTACATTGTTTTTTTTCTTTATTTCTTTCTCACTCTTGATTTTTTTTTTTTTTTTTGGGGTTTCTCGCTCTAAACTGGAAGATTTGGTTGATCTTGATTGATTCTTGATCGACTTTAACTTGAAGTTTCTTTTGATTTTAGTTTGTGTGTATATATATAGGTGTGATGAGGGTTTTTGTGCTTTTGGGTTTTGGCTTTAGTGCTGATTGTTGGGGGGTCCGGGACTTTAGGGACGGGAGGATCTTTGCCGTTGATGTTTTGGGGATGTGGTGAGGATTTGTTTGGTGTTGGAGTCCTGGAGCTTGAATGGATTTTGGGGGGTGTGGGGGTAATGACCAAATTGCACTTCTTAGAGACTAAGGAATCGCTTTATTGGGAGTCTTGAAGATATCAAAGAGGCTTTTGTGTGCCAACGATTTATGAAAGTATCATGTAAATTACTTAGACCAAGCACTTACGTGTGATTGTTTTATGAGATAATTAAAATATATATTATGTTCTAAAGGTCTAATTTTATTTTTTATGTGTTAATTTTTTATATTAATTATTATATCAAAATATAGTACAAATTAATAAAAAATTATAAAAATAGTTTTATTAGTATTTTATAATACTAATATAAAGATATTTGTACAAAAAATTATACAAATATAAAGATATTTTTAATATTAAATACAATAACACAAAACTGCAAATATGATATTTAGAGGCGGACGAAAGAAATATTTTTTTAATGTGAAATATAAAAAAAATATTTAAAAAATATAAAAATAATAAATATATACGATATATTAATATTTTCTGTAAAACGTGTATGAATTTTTTTTATTATTTAAAGAACATACCCTCAATATCCTTGAAAATATACATTATTTATGCATATCATGCCATATTATCATTTCACATTAAACCTATAAATTAAATTATATTTAAATCCATAATGAGTCATATAAAAAAAAAATACGCTAAAATTCCAACAATAATATTTAGGTATTAATTATGTATAGATGATAACATGCATATTATTTTATATACTTCATTATGATGGTCTCAAAGTTGTAATTAAACGTCAATATTCCAAGGGAAGGGTTAGGGCACCGTGTTGATTTTTTTAAAACAACATATATCTTTATTACGCACAATATGTTATGTTTATAATAAAGGTATGTGATATTTGTTCATAATTACAGCGTGTGTTGCATAAGAGTATTTCATATGCTAAAAAACTATTGTATGTGATGTCTGAGTCTATATCATATAATGTTAGTTCATTTGTTGTGTTTGTATTATCTTAATATAAATGATGTGTTGTCAATAGTAATGTCGTATGTTTTTTGTGGGTTTATTGGGTGTTGTTTAGCACAGTGCACTATAAAATTTGAATGAATAAAAATCACTTCACGAATCCTTCACTTAATACATGGTTTGCAACCCCAAAATATTCCAAGAAGTACCAAATAATCTCCCACAAAATGAAGTCAAACATCGATTATAATTTCAATGGAGTATAGCTTTCTTGAAATGTAGAAAAGAAGAAGATATATTCTCCCTTTCATTTCTCTCCTCGTTTGTTGAAAAGAGATATGAAATTTCGACTTAAAATCAATTGATACTAAATAGAGTAAATCTACATCCTTATAAATCAATTAGTCCCGTAAGGGATGGCCTGGTAGTATAGGGGTTGGATTTGTAATCGTGAGGTTATGGATTCAAACCCCCGACGCCTCAGGTCACCTGCCACATATGGTTCGCCTAGTGTGACTTTTCCGTCGGGTCTTATTTGCAGGGTATTAGGTTCAGCCGGGAGTTTACCCAATGCACACTTTCGGATGGCGGCTGCGGATTCTCACGTCATCTAAAAAAGAAAAACCCAAAATATGTAATCAATCAAGACACATAAGTACAAAATTTATACCACCTTATGGTCCTTAGGGGACAAGGACTACCAACCTCAGCCATTGTTCTTTTTGGCACTTCTTAAAATTTTTTCATTCTCTTTGACATGTTCTCTATTATGTAAAAGTCTCTATTGATCTTGAAAGCTCTCATGTACACTTAGAGATATTTGTTTCATGACTTCATAATGTAACAAAATTAGCAACTCAAAAATCTCATTTAATTTGTCTAATCTAAACAAATGCAAAACAATCCATTTGTCATTTGATTAATTAATGTCAATCATGTATAAATATATGTTTTTTTATTTATTTATATTAAATAAATTTTATTTTTTACGCAATGATATATATTATATATTTTTGTGAAAATATAATTTTTAAAATACTTTAATAAATATATATTTTTAAAAATAATAATCATACATATAACATCATAAGTATCAATTAAATAAATCATTTGCAATCCAACTTTCAATTACAATTTGAACAAGTAACCAAACACACTTGTTTGGCGGATGAATAAATAATTTTTTTTATAAAAAATTTTTGAGTAGATCCTACATATAAGATGTTAGAAGTTTAATTAAATTGATTTATATTTGTTAAGTATATTTAAGATTGATAAATTTACCAAAAATAAAAAAGGATCATCTTTTGTGGAATGTACCAAAAAGGAAATAGAATCATCTATGGCGGGACGGAGAGAGTATTTATTTAGCTATATGTGTTTATCATTCTCTACATATGTTTATTTGACTTCATATGTTTTAGCGTAGAAGGAAAAAATTTCTCAAGTTAATCCCTTATATACTATTGCAAAAAAATTAAATAATTGTTTTGTCTTGATCAGGACAAGAAAATATTCTATTTGCTTCGACTAAAAATACTACTCCTTCCGGATACCATGTCCATGTTGCTGTTTCTGTCCGTCCCACGTACCATGTCACTTTCTTTTTTTGGAAAATAATTACACACTTTAATCTCATTTTAAATTTTTAAATTTTATTTTTTTTAATTTTAATTAAACTAATTAGTTATCTTAATCTTAATTTATAATTATTTATATTATAGGATAATTATTTTTACTAATACATTCTTAATTATCTACTAATTACACCCCTCCTAAAATACCGTGTCTACAGTGTAGCAAACACAGTATCTGAGACGGGTGGAGTATTTTTTTCGTTTTTGTATATATCCCACACAAAAATATATATTTTCTATTACTGTAAAAGTAATCATACACTAATATTAAAATACATTTAATTTTTACATAATTAAAAATATACAATTACACATATACATAAAGTACAAATGACAAAAATATCGAAATTATTTTACACATTTTCACTAAGTAATAAAATATTATTATGTTTTAATTTACCAAAAATAAAAATAAAATTGCATTATTCTGGAATGAAGAAATTAAAGTAGTTCTTTTAAAGGGGCATTATAACTAAACATTTCCAATTAGTTTTTAAAGGTGAAAACAATCATGGTCATATCATTATATGAATTTTATTTTTATTTTTGTGATCTCATTTGTAAAAAAAAAAATAATAATAAAATAAAATTGTTTAATACTAACAAAGTTGGTCCCTAAAATAGAAATGTATATATCATTTTAAATCATTAAAAAAGAAAAAAAAAAAAGAAAAACTATAAAAAACGTCATTTGATAATATTAGTAAAATAAAATTACATTATTTTACACTATTTCATTAAATATTATAATTGAAAATTGAAATCATAGCATCTAAGGAATCTTGTTTTAAAATCTCATGTTCTAAATAATTTATTTAACAAGATTTTATCATAGGTTATAAAAGCAGTAAAATAAATAAATATTAACTACTATATTCACAGAAGTAATAATCGTAATTAAGATGTTCGAAGACCAAAAAGTGAACTATTTATACCAAGTCGTCATAATAATTATGACCTATACGATTATCGAAGGCCATCCTCGCCTTCAACACTAACAAAAAAAATTATTTTTGTAACAAAATTTTTGTCTCTAAATCTACTTTTTCCGTTACTAATGACATCAGAAATGGAATTAATAATGGAATTACGCTAGCTACGTGAACTTTATGGACGGAATTCCGTTACAAATATATATATTTTTTTTTGTAGTGCAAGCATGGATGATTGGTGTAGAAGATCAAAATATAATTATAGAGTTACATTTATCACGTATTGTGAAGCTCAAATTAGAGATATAATGTATTGTACATCCAGCATCTCGAGCTTTTTGAGTCATCCGTACAGTTTATTGGATCACGTGTTATGATTTTGATCTACATTTTTATATACACTTTATGTTCTCTCTGTAATTAACACTCGAAAATACTAGTGAAAATACCTAGTTTGTCCGTCCTCAAACATCGATTATCCTGATTGAACCGGATAACCAATTTTTTTTTTTGTTATTGTGTTTTGTTTTTTTTTTTTATCGTTCTTGATTTTATAATTTTCGCAATAGCTTATTCTCAAAGAATTACTTATGATTCAAACCATTTCTTTTAATACACTAGAGTTCGACCATTTAACAAAAAGTATAAAATTAATCTAATTGACTTTTCGATCTAATGTTATGCCTTGAACCTCTTAGTCATTTCTTTAACAAAAAACATGTAGAATCATCGTTATAACCATTATACTTTCTGACCATCATAAAACATTTAGGATATACATAATTAAGATTACTTTCTGACCATCATAAAATCATATCAGATATTTATCATCTCATCAAATATTTTAATATTTCATTATTTTTAAATATTTTTAAATTTTCAAAACTCCAAAACCCTAAATCTAAGCCTTCCTATTTATGCATATATATATATATTATAATTTTTTTTACTTTCCATCAAATGTTATAAGTTGGTGAGAAATGAAATGATATAATTTAATTTGTTATTTAGTACTCCCTCCGTTTCAATACAATAGTCTTGTTTATCATTTTTGTTCGTCCCAAAACAATAGTCTCATTTCTATAAATAATCATATCACTATAAAATTACCCTTATTTTTTCATTATTATTACACAATAGCCACTACTTTTTACACTAATACACTCACAAGGGCAAAAAAATCTTTTACCCGTACTTTTTACCCACTACCAATATAATATCAATATTTCTAAAATCTCGTGTCAAACACAACCCAGATTATAGTTCTGGACGGAGAGAGTAATATTTATTGTTACTGAAAATGTGTAAGATTTATTTTATATTTTTTCCATGAAAGTACAAATAAAATGAATATTTCTGCAAAAAATTATAGGCATTTTGGTATTTATATATATTATTATTTTTATTATAATTAGAAATTGATATTTTTGAATGGATAGATAAAAATAGTAAAAATAGTATATTATGTTGGGATGGAAAAAATATTTTTTATATTATCAATATAATTTTTCATGTCTATCATAAAAAAAAAAAAAAAAAAAAAAAAAAAAAAAAAATTGCTTAAATTCAAAAATATAAAGTGAACAAATATATCTATTTTTTGCTATTATTTTTTTTTTTTTTTTTAGTGAAGGAATACTAGCTGTTAGCCTGTTATATATATTGTTTGATAGTGATTTATATGTAATTTATTTTTTTAAAAATAGATAATATATTTTAATAAAAACACTTAAAAATCAAATAGTAAAAAAATAAATAAATAATTGCATTGAGAGTCAAGGGCAAGAAAAGAACAAAGGGAGTTTTCAAATCAGTGTAATAAGTGGAGCCCTATTTTTCTTCATTCCCAAGCATTACGCAAAATATATGCCTGTATTTTATTTTATATATATATATATATATATTTCAAGTGAAATAAATGAGTTATATAAATTTAATATTTCATATTTTATATGAAATAATTAAAATAAACAATAAATACTTGCATGAACAAACCCTTCAACTATGCATCTAAAAAGGAATCTTACATAGTAGTAATATTTTACTTTTGTTATCGTACTCCCTCCGTCCACACACAAAATCAACATTTACTTTCAGCGCGGTATTTAAAAAATAATATTATTTTAATTATAGTAAATAGTTAAAAATAGTAAAATAACATTTTTGCCCTTTTTGTGTAAAAATAATAATGTGATATAAAATAAGAGTATTTTGTGGAAAAAAGTGAGGTATTTAATGAAATATTTACTTGGACGTTCCAAAATAGAAATATGTATACTTTCTAGTTGGACAAAGGGAGTATGTTTGAAGGGAAAAAAAAAATTATACTCCCTCCGTCCCAGATACCGTGTCTGCTACGCTGTAGACACGATATTTTAAGAGGAGTGTAATTAGTAGATAATTAAAAATATATTAATGAAAATAATTATTTTATAATATAAATAATTATAAATTAAGATTTCAATAAATCAATCGTATTTAAAATAATTATGTCTAATCAAATCAAATTAATATTTTATTGATTTGTACGAATTTACTTTTAAAAATATATATATATATATTTTTTTAATATACGTGGAAAAGTAACTTACGCCCGTCTCCAACTTTCCACTACAATGTTCGATTTAAAATTCCAATCTTTATGCCTAATTGTGATCAGTGCTTACACTTTATATTATTTTCATAATAAAATATTTAATCTAATCTTGAAGAAGACTACAGTACATATTGAATTAATTTATTTCATCAGGATTATTATTATTATTATTATTTTATTTATTTTTTTATTTTTATTTTTTTGATGACTTATTATTATTATGGGAAAAGCAAAAGGAGCCAAGAATGGTCCAAGAAATCTTTTAAAAGTCTTTAAAATGGGGCCAATTGATAGCTACAAAATGCCAATTATTTAAACCAATTCTTCATAGTGCTTGTTTATTTAAATAACAATCTTTTTATGTTTTTTTTTTTTTTTCTTTCATTTTATAGATGTTCTTGAGATTATCTTCTCTAGCTATCTTACTTGTATACATGTGTATATATATTGGATGCAGATTCTCTGCTGATCCGATCAAATGAGTATCCTATTGATTTGATCGGATTAATATATGTAATACAAATGACTAGCATATATTTTTATATGCCTCAACATATGTTATATTATAAGATAGTATATGTTAAGTTATAATATATTATACATATTGTATTATAAATATGTTGAAATATATATAAAGATATATTGATTATCCCGTTAATCCGGTCAAATACAACACTATACTGACTAGGTCAGATCATCACCTGATCCATGCCTATATATATACACAAATCTTTTAATAATATGAGATTATTTTACATGGTATACAAATTGATACTCCAAAAAACAATCAAACTTCCAAGATTCACAAGGCAACTTATGGAACACAAAAATAAATGAAAAACAATAAAGTAAAGAAAGAAAATGAGGCCACAAAATCTCAAACAATTGAATGAATGATTTCTTCATTAACTCTAAAAAGAGTTTTTTTTTTTTTTTTTTGTTGGATATTAAATAAGTGAAAGAGGAAGAAAAAATACGAAGGGGCTCTTATCCCACATTGCAAATGCGAAACAATTCAATTTTTCATAAATTGTACTACCTTCGTCTCTATGGGTTTATATATTTTTTGTGTGTTGATTTTTAAATATTAATTATTATACTATTAAAACATAGTACAAATTTAAAAAAAAAAATTGCAAAGATACTTCAATTAGTGTCTTATAATACTAATAGAATGACATTTGTACAAAAAATTATACAAATATAAAAGATATTTTTAATGTTAAGTACAATGACGCAAAAAGGTAAATATGACCCTTAGAGGCGGACGAATGAAGTATTTCTCACAAATTGTGTAAATGGATCAATGGAATATTGGATTGGGGCAATAAGTGGACTTGATCGATTTTTTGTGGTTATTAAAATTTAAATTTTCTTCCTATTATAATATACAACAAGAACCTCTCTCCAATCCCTACAAAATTACTATTTTTTTTTTTTTTGAAAAATAAAACTTACGATGAAGCTCGAATCTATTTATGATTTGTGACTTGAATCTGTAATTCGAACGGGTATTGAATTCCCCATCTCGATTTTTATCTTCTTGATATTTAACTAACATTTTGTAACAATACCCAAACCAATCCTCAATCCTAAACCTAGTCTAGCAAACTAACACAAGATTTTGCATGCCCAAAAGAATCGACTAGACAGAATTCCATTTGTTTAGACAGAATTCCATTTGCTTAGACAAAAAATCAATTTAAGGGGCAACCCAAAGAATTCCATTTGTTTAGACAGAGATTTTTGAAAACTTTTGAAATTTGAAAGTTTGAAAAAGAAAAAAAAAAACTAGTATTTGATTTGATATTTTGTAAAATAAAGAATAAATTTGATTTGATATTTTTTAAAAAATGAATAATACCAAATGAATAGTATCAATATATAGAGAACAAAAAACAACATGAATTTGGAGACTTGTCCGAGGTATATACGTGGTTCTGGGTTACAGGTTGGGTTCGAAATTTAGCCAATTGGACAATAGTTATATCATCTTTGTCTCGTATGTAATACTCTCTCCGCCTCCGCTCAAAGTACCATGTTTATTATTTTGCTTTGTTCCACTCAAAAGTATTTTGTTTTTATTTTAATAAAAATAATTATAACTAACATAAAAATATTTTTTAACTTTTACCTAAATTACAAATATGCTATTAGAAATACAATTATTTTATATATAAAGTCAAATGACAAAAATGTTAAAATTTCTTATACACTTCCACTAACTAATACTCCTTCTATCCCGGTACAAATGGGTCATTTGGAGTTTATAGTAGATTTAAGAAATGATAGTATTTTATTAGTTAATGGAAGTGTGTAAGAAATTTTGATATTTTTGCCCTTTGACTTTAGGTAAAAAGTAATTGTATGTGTAATGGTATATTTGTAATTTAGGTAAAAAATAAGAGTATTTTGGTATTGGTGTATGATTATTTTTACTAAAATAGAAATTGATACTTTGGAGTGTAACAGATAAATATGGTAAAATAAAGAATACTTTGAATTGAGAGAGTAAAATATTATTATTTCTTAATTTACTAAAAAATTTCAAATAATCTTTTTGGAGTGAAATAGAGGAAGTATCTTTTTATAATTTGCATCTTTTAAATAAAACACGTACAAAAATTACTTTTGGGTTTAACTTGTCATTGCTTAAATAGTACTCCCTTCGTCCCGTGAAAGATGAAGCTTTTTGTTAGGAACGGTATATTTTATGTAGCGTGGGTTATTAAGTTATTAATAATAAGTTAATATAATATTTTATTATTATTTTTTATAGGTGTAGTGTTGTTTGTATTTTAAATATTTTTATAATTATATCTCTATATGCAATATGTATATCATTTTGTAGATAATAAAATTTTACATAATACAAATGAATAAAAAAATATATTTATTTATTTATCATTACCATAAATTAGTTTTATAAAAGATGAAGAATTTTAAAAGTGGATAAAAATATTTGTTAATTTATGATAGAGATAGAAATAAAGAGATTTTGAGTGGGTTGTACGTTTAAAATGTTAGAAGTTTAATTAAATTGATTTATAAGTTTAATTAAATTGATTTATATTTGTTAAATATGTTTAAAATTGATAAATTTACCAAAATATATATATATATATCATCTTCTATGAGACATACTAAAAAAAAATAGAATCATCTGTCGCCATCTAATCATCTGTCTAATGGCATACTGTACTGCACCGTACATATGCTAATATAGCCTCTAACATGGATATACCACGTGGCAATCTTCGACAATAAATAATAATAATAATAATAATAATAATAATAATAATAATAATAATAATAAATTGGTCCCATAAAGGATGGTCTGGTGGTGTAGGGGTTTGACTTGTGACGAGGATTTACTTAGTGCGCACTTTCAGGTAGCAGCTATAGTTTACACGTCATAATAATAATAATAATAATAATAATAATAATAATAAGAATAATAATAAATTGAAACTTAATGAGAAGGGTTATTAATAAGGATGATTTGGCATAATTTTGTTGGCCAAGAAATGTTTAAAAAGAGTCGATGCAAGTTTAGGCCTTGTGAGTGGAACTTCATGACCTGCTCCTCTTACTGTTACATAACTTAATCCTTCATATACTTGGCTCCACCCTCCAACCTATTTGGTTAGTTATAAACATAAATTAATATCAATATTCAATAAATAAAAAAAAAATATAGGAAAATTTGAATATATATATATATATTCTCGGCATATATTCCATTATTATTTTACATGTTTGCAAAGTTTGTCATTTACGTCATCCGACCGCACATGAAACAACTGTTGTGTGAACATGATATGTGGTCAGATGACAAAAATAACGACTTATACAAACGTGTAAAATATATTTTGTCATCAAAATAAATAATTGGGTATACGTAAATGATAGTTTTTGTAATTTTTTCCAATAAAAATAATACCTAGGAAATTCAAACTATAATTTTTTTGTTATAGTATGTTGAATTATCACTTTTCTTCTTTACATTTAAATCATGTGATGTTCGATGAGAAATTTAAACGAAGAAAAGAAAATTTTCAAATGTGCAAAATCAAATTATAATGTTAAAAGGGTACAAAGCCAAAATTTATACTTCCTCCGTCTCATATATTTATGTATCTGTTTGCTTTTTGCACAGAATTTTAGAAATATTAGTATTATATTGGAATATAGTGAGAATATAGTAGAAATGACTAAAATAACTTTATTTGTATTGTGTAATATAAATGTAATGACATTTGTGTAATATATTATAAGTTGTAAGGATATTTGTAATGTTAGATAAATAGTACAGTTACTTTAAAAAAAAAAAATTGATACTTTGTTACGAGACATATCAAAATAGAAAAATTGATAATTTCAAGAGACGAACAGAGTATAATTTTTATGATAATATAAATAAAGTACTTGTATTATAAGATAAAATGCATAAAATACTCTCTGTATAAATTTTATAGCACAATTCGCCATCATATTAATAAAAAAATAATAATAAGTATATAACCCTATTTTATTCATAGAATACTTACTTTGCATAACATGGGGTTCGGTATTTAATACTCCCTCCGTCCCATAACTAAGTATTCATTTATTTTTTGCATGTTGATTTTTGGATATTAATTAATATATCAAAACGTATTAAAAATTAAGAAAAAATTGCAAAAATTTTTGTAGTAGTGTCTTATAATACTAATATAATGACATTTGTATAAAAACTTATACAAATATAAAGATATTTTTAACGTTAAGTACAATAACGCAGAAGGTAAATGAATACCTTGTTATGAGACGGAGAGAGTACATGCAATAACAGTCACATAAGTTGTTTTTAAAAATAAAAAAACATTTATACATTTTTCAAAAAAACTAATATATTTATATATTTATTGTTTTTATATTATCTACACAATTTTTTTTTATATATTTTATGTAAATATATATGTATATTATTTTTGATTTATTGCACTTTTTCTTAGACTATTAAAGTGAGACAAATATAGTACGATATTTTCACACATTTAAATTAATCAAAACACTAGTGATATAGATGCAATTTACCAACGTGAGAGTTTATTATATGTTTGATAAATAATAATAATAAATAAATAAATAAATTTATATTTTTACTACTCAAATTTTCTCTAAAATTATCGTGTGTAATATTCTCTCATCCGCTATGATTATACTATTTTTTTATTGTCCGCTAAACTTATACTCAATTTATTTATAATAAACTATTTTATTCACTTATAATTTTATTATTACTATCTATTCTACTTACTCAATTACTTAACTTATCAATTATTTAATAAATTTATCATAATGCTTTCACTGTTTTTACTTATCTTATTTTTATATTTAAAATATTATTATTTTTTAACATTGATAGAGTAATATTTATCTAAACAATATAATAATTATTAAAATAAAAATAAATAAATAAACAAAGGTAAATGACTTGCCTTTTGGTTGATATACCAAGCATGCCAAGAAGTGTTGACTTTAAGGTTTAGGGCATTGAGTGAGTAACGAGTTGCACTCAGTGGCAATACAGCATCAGTGTCACCACTGCATTAATTAATTAATTAATTCCAATATTATTATTATTAACAAATTAAAATATAATAAATAAAAACTCTTTTTATGAAATTGACAAATTTTGTTATATAATGATAGTATAAATTTTAGGCTAAATTGCACAAAATTCATTTGTGGTTTCACGAAATTGCACTAAATTCCCCGTATTTTTAAAATTGCATCGAACTCCCTTATGGTTTTATAAACTCCGCGTTTAACCCCTTAGTGGTCCTTATTTAGGAGTATTTGACCTAAATACACCCAAACTGTGAATAAATTTTAAAATCTTAATTTCTAAACGTCTAAAATCAAAAATATATATATTTTTCTTATATTTAGCTTAAAGAAATAGTAAAAATAAACTCTTAAAATCTGATAAAAATAACTATTTTTTAGTATATTTATTATTTTTTTGAGACTGAATACAAGAAAAATGAATATATTTATAATTTTAGTGGTTTAGAAATTGAGATTTTAAATTTTTTTGTAATTTGGACGCATTTAGGTCAAATACCGTTAAATAAGGACCGCCAAGGTGGTTAGACACAGAGTTTATAAAACCACGAAAGAGTTTGACGCAGTTTTAGAAGTATAGGAGATTTAGCGCAATTTCATAAAATCACGGGTAGATTTTGTGCAATTTAGCCTAAATTTTATTCTATTTATATCTTTCAATTTTCTCTATTCACTGTACAAATTTATTTAATTTACCTTTTTTTTTTTATATCCGGTAGTTGAAATATAAAAATATTTTATTCAATAAAATATATAAATTTTTTCATAAAAAAATATTTAAGAAATAATATAAAAAAAACTACTTCATCCAAACAATAACACTATTGGTCAAAACAATATTAAAATTATCAAAAACTGATAATACAAAATTTACTATTTTTAAAACGTTTTGTTTGGTTATAGATTTGAGAATTAAGCTTTGGGTAAAAATAACAACAAAATTTTAAATTAAAAAATTATTTAATATGCTATAAACAAATTAATTTAATATCATGATATAAATCTAATTTTTAGTGTAACTAAAAATAAAATATTTAATTAGATATTTTTGAAAAAAATAAATAAATTGCAGATAGTATATATATATATATAATATAGGAAATTACCTAAACACCCATATTCTGATGCCTGCTTTTATAAGCTGTTGGAATATTGGTAGCATAGATTTTGGTGAATCTGCCCAGCTCCCTCTTACCGTATCACTGTCAATTAAATTAAATTAAATTAAATTGATAAATATGAGTTTCGTCCGACTGTAAAGATTTTATTTATTTTTTGCGTATTGATTTTTTCAAATTAATTATTATATTAAAATATAGTATAAATTAAAAAAAAATTATAAAAATATTTCCATTAGTGTCTTGTAATACTAATATAAGAATATTTGTAAAAAAATAATTATACAAATATAAGAATATTTTTAATATTAAGTACAATAACGTAAAGCTAAATGTGACCATTAGAAGCTTAGAGGCAGACGGATGAAAGGAATAACTAAAATGAAGTAATTATTTGATGCGATATAAATAGTTGTAATGTATTTTGAATGTAAATTTAATTTTTAATATAATATAAAAAATAAAAAACAGATGGTTGATATAATTTTTTTAGAAAAAAAATATTGAAAAAAATAATAAAAATTCTTCCAAATCCTTCCACAAACATTAGTTTTTGTCCATGAATGTGAAATGACTTGAATACCTGCAAGTTTGCCAAGGGTGAGGAATCCCTGTAGTGTTGGCATGAAGGGCATTTTGGACATCTCGCCTGTTCATATAAATTTTTGTGTACTTGACGACACATTGGTCATTCCCTCTAAATGTCCATGGCTAATAAAAAATAAAAAATCACACCCCAATATTTTTTTTAAGAAATGAAAATATTAATAAAATAAAATAATTATAATTTAAAAAAAAAAAAAAAAAAAAAAAAAAGTTACCAATGGAAGAGTTCCTAAGTCTGGGCAAACAGGGCCATATATATCGTACGGATTAATATCTCCAAACTGAGAGTAAGCTTCAGAAAGAGCGGAATAGCAATGGTCGTGAGGGAACAGAAAGGAATCCAACGGACAGGATTGATTTAATCTTTTGTAGGTGAGATCTGAGATGAGACCGTGATTCCACCAAAACTCGAACGTTCCAATGTTGTCGTGATAATCATCTATTAAAGGATTCCCTAACTAAAACACATCAAAATAAATAAATAAATATACATATATATATATATTTATTTCATATGTATATATATTTATTTCAATAAAAAAAAAAATTAAAAATTAATTACACACACAATTAGCGATGACAATTGTTAAAATATTTTACGAAAACTCTAAAGCTTATTAATCATAGTCTGTATACAAGCCGGCTGCGTAAAACAAACTTGATAGACTCAAATCTAATATATATATATATATGACGAAATCTAAATCTAAATCTAATAAATTTAAAACTAAATATCGAAAATCTCTTGACAGCCCCTCTCAAACTCGAGTGGGTCGCAGAAACTAACTTAAGTTTGACAAGCAAAATTCTTTTAAGAAATTTAACTCAAATTTAGAACTGAATTAGAATTCCGATCCGGTATACATCAAAATGTATGTATTTAATAAAAAATATTATAATAAAATTATACTAATAAATAAATAATAAATCAAGATTTTTTTTTATTTGAAATTGATTTAAAATAGGATGTTAATTTGAGTTTTTATTTAACTGGTATTGTGATATGATATTTGTAAAAAAAAAAAATAATATATTTCGAGTAGAAATTAAAATAAAACCATAGTGTTTATATTTCTTTTTTAATAACTATAAAATTAATTGTACATTATAAATATTTTTTCAATTCCATCTATTTAGTTAAATACCACCAAATATTCTTTAAATATAAGGTATTCTAGTCATTACATAAATATACCATCACCTATCAATCAATTATTATATTTTTTTAATATAATTATATTATTATAAAATATTTTTATTCTTAAATATTATTAATATATTAACAGATTAAGTTTGAATTTGGGTTGGATCCACCTTAGACTTTGGATCTAACTTCAATTCAAATAGGGTTATATAAATTAGGGTAAATTGTTTTTTTAGTCCCGTAACTGGACTCCCTTATCATATTAGTCTCGTAAGTGGAGCTTGTCGCACACTAGTCCCATAAGTGAAAAAATTTCGATGTTTTAGTCCTCCGGTGCCGAAGACGCCCGCGTGGCTCGCCGGAGGTGACGTGTCCGCCAGGTCAGCGACACCTGACGCTGACCTGGCGGACACGTGGATTTTTTTTTTATTATTTATTATTTTTTTAATTTATTTTTAAAACTTATTTTTAATTTTTTAATTTGATTTAATTTAAAAAAATAAAAAAAAAATTGAAAAAATAAATAAATCCACGTGTCCGCAAGGTGTCGCTGACCTGGCGGACACGTCACCTTCGGCGAGCCACGCGGGCGTCTCCGGCGCCGGAGGACTAAACCAGCGAAAATTTTTCACTTATGGGACTAGTTTGCGACAGGCTCCACTTACGGGACTAAAATGATAAGGGGTCCAGTTACCGAACTAAAAAAACAGTTTACCCTATAAATTATAATAAATGACTCATATCCAATTCGATATCTAAATAATTGGACTTAAACCCATTGTCGTCCCTATCCATAATATTTTATAAATTATGAGTAATTATATGACATACCAAGAAACCTTTGAAGTTGATTGTAGGATTTTTTATGCCTTTGTTGTGATCCACAATGACTTTGGATAGTTGAGGAATGTAATGCCCTATTAAAAAAAAAAAAAAAGAATAAATTTAATGATTGAAATAAAATTTAAATAATTAAATGTAATTATTAATATTATTGAATTTCATATTTCATATATGTATATATATATATATATATATATACCTGCATAACTTTCACCAGCAATATAGAATGATCTATACTTAAATTGAGGGAACCTTTCAAACCATCTTGTAAGAAATTTGTATGCATCCTTGGCTGCAAATATTAATTTAAATTAGAAAATAGGTTAAATTGCACAAAATCCACCCGTGGTTTCATGAAATTGCACCAAATCTCCATACTTCTAAAACTGCATCAAACTTCTCGTGGTTTCATAAACTTTACGTCTAACCCCCTCAGTGGTCCTTATGTAACGGTATTTGACCTAAATGCGCTCAAACTGCGAATAAATTTTAAAATCTCAATTTATAAACCCCTAAAATTACAAATATATTTATTTCTTTTATATTTACCCTAAAAAAATAATAAATATACTCAAAAATAGTTATTTTTCTCAGGTTTTAAGAGTTTATTTTTACTATTTTTTTAGGCTAAACATATAAAATAAATAAATATATTTGTGATTTTAGGGGTTTAGAAATTGAGATTCTAAAATTTATTCGTAGTTTGAGCGGTCAAATATCGTTAAATAAGGATCGTTGAGGGGGTTAGACACAAAGTTTATGAAACCACGAGGAAGTTTGACGCAGTTTTAGAAGTATGAAGAATTTGGTGCAATTTCATGAAATCACATGTGGATTTTGTGCAATTTAGCCTAGAAAATATAATATAGGATGTGTTACATGAAGAAAAAAAAAATAAAGATAAGAATACGAAAGAAATATCTATTATGTATATAAAGTTTATCCGTGTTTTAATTTAAATACATAAAAGATACTAATACATATATGTATATATATAAAGTTTATTATGAATTCAGTCATTCAATTCTATCTACCAATTTTATTTTTTATATTTTTTTCACAATTTTCGCGGTTTTTAATAAAAAAAATAATATTATTTATTTTTATAAGATATAATATTGAAATACTATGTAAATCGAAATTTAAATTTTAGTGCAAAATGAACACAATCTATATAACTTTATTCGGTATTAATACAAATGATAAAAGTTTTATGTTTGTATATGTATACATACACACATTGAGAATATTATTTTTAATCAAAAATATTTTTTTTAAAGAAGAATATCAATCAAATAATTATTTTTTAAAAATAAAATATTACGTAGATGCTCAATTTATTTATTCTTTTTAAAACTCTTTTGATTGTAAATTTTTTTTAAGGTTTTTACTATTCCAAAATAAAATAAAAATTATCAAATTAATATATTTTTAATAAAATGATGATGGAAACCCAATAATAATATAAAATATTTTTTATATATTTATATTAGAATACAAGTATGTTGACAAATTTAAAAATAAATAAATAAACCCCAATAATGTAAGAAAATGTGTAATGAATATATAAATGAAGAAGACCTGTTCTGTCGTCACCAATTCTTTCATCAGCTGAAGAATTTGAATACGAAAATCCAACGCCAGCAGGTGAATCAAGAAATAACAAATTTGCATCTGTACAAAAAAGTTCGACCGCGAATTTTCACGTCATCCAAAAAAAAAAATCAATGTTGAAATATTATTATTAGATTATTATTTTAAATAAGATAGTTTTAATTTAAATATGGATAAAATATATGGCTAGCTCATTTATATTTCAATATTGATATATGAAATACTCCTTCCGTCCAAATACAATAGTCTTGTTTACCATTTTTGTCTGTTTTAAAACAATAGTCTCATTTCCATAAATAACTATATCACTATAAAACTACTCTTATTTTTTCATTATTATTATACAATTACCACTATTTTTTACACTAATAAACTCAAAAGGACAAAAATGTCTTTTACCCGTACTTTTGTATCCACTACTAATATAATATTAATATTTCTTAAATCTCGTGTCAAACACAACCCAGACTATAATTCTGGAACGGGGGGAGTATTACTTTTATCTTACTCATTAAATACTTAAAATTTGAATATTCTATGCCCCAACCAAATTATGGCAATAAATTTGGTTTCTTGAATTTTTTGATTGGATCAGATTGGAAATTATTAAATTTTTAATTTTTGGATCAATATGTTAAAAAATAAAACAAATTTGAAACTCATAATATATTATAATTATGAGAATGTGTGATATAGCATATATTGGTTCTTATTTGAGAATTTTTTTTTTATTATTAATTATTTAATGCTTGCTTGTAAGTATTTAAATGTTAGACAATCTTGTATTGTACTTTTGTTTTGATTCTTTGGACATTATTTTTTTGACAAAAAAAATTATCTTTGTTTTTTTTTCAAAACATTTTTAAAAGGAATTAAATTATTTGGATTTTGTACTTTGTTATACAAATTCGAATTTTTCAATTCAGGTTTCAAATAATTTAATTTAATTTTTTTTACAAATTCTTTTTTATTCAAATTAGTTTGAATTTTTTCAAATTTGAACCATAATCCAAATGTTCACTCATACTTTAAATATATATATATATATAATATATAATAGGGTTTATTTACATATATTTTGCTAATACAAACACTAAAAGAAATAATATATTTGTAACGGAATTCCGTCCCTAAAGTTCACGTAGCTAACGTAATTCCATTCCTAATTCCGTCTCTAATGTCATTAGTAACGGAAAAAGTAGATTTAGAGACAAAACTATTTTGTTACAAAAATAATTTTTTCTTGTAGTGAAATATGAATTATGTAAGAAATTGTACATGAAATATGTATAATATTTACGTAAAAGCCTAGGTAATGCATATGCAATTTATAATATATCTTATAAACAATTTTTATTTTATTTTATTTTTTTTAAAAAAAAAAAGTTTATAGAAATATACCTTTGTTCCAAGAATAGGGACTCAAGGTCAAGTTTCCATCTGGCGTGGCTCGAAAAGGGCCAATCTCCTCCGAGGCGCCATAAGCAATTGAAGAACAACCCGGTCCGCCATTGAGCCACAAAACAAGTGGCTTCGACTCGGGTTTTCTGCTCGCCTCGATTAACCAATAGAACAAAGCTCGACCTTCTTTTCGGTCCACTGTGACATATCCCGAATACTGATCAAACGTTGCATTTGATGGTTGCCCGGGAAGCTTGACAATCTTGTCGCGAATTTGTTGCTTAGGAATTGGTTGGAGATCAATTGAAGTAACAACATTCGATGCGAAAAGAAGCAAAAATGTAATAGTAAGTTTTCGATGTCGAAGAGAAGAGTTGATAAGGTCTCTCATTGTGAAAATTGTTCAAATGAAATGAGTTAGGCTATTGAAGATTGTAGTTTTGGACTATTTTAAAGAGATTTAGAGAAATAATATTGGTCAAAGATTGCTAAGTTGTAATTAGTGAAGTAGAAGCTAAGGAATTATTAATGTGAAGTTGAATGTGTAAAAATGTGCAATAACACAATGTTTTGGTGTCAATGTGTAAACATTAGTTTTGGACTAAGACTGGGTTTTATGTATATTTTAATTAAACACAAAAGTGTTTCACGCAATAAATAAAATATAAAATATTTTGTGTATTTTTACTAAAACAGAAGAGAAGAGAGTATTATATAATTTACCATATATATTTATATGTATTTCCAAGAAAAGATTGGGCTATATTATTTTAAGTTTAGTTTTATTTCCTCCGTCCTAATTCAAAGATTTTTTTTTTCATTTTTATATGTCTCACTTCAAAGTATTTATTTCTAATATTAAAAAAAATAATCATACACTAATATCAAAATACTATTGAATTTTACTTAAATTACAAATATATCATTGCACATACAATTACTTTATATATAAAGTCAAATGACAAAAATATCAAAAAATTTTTATATATTTTCACTAACTAATAAGATAATATTATCTTTTAATTTGGGACGGGGAGAATATTTTTTTATTATATAGTCATTGCATTAAGTTTTTATAAAATATCATATCTATATCACTATTCAAACAAATTGAAAAGGATGTGTTGTTTTTATTATTTCAAATAAAAAGACTTCATTATTCAACTTCTACAATTTTCAATAAAAATATATTATTATTTTCACAAAATATCATATCAAAAATATTATTTAAATTAAAAATATAAATAAAAATTCAATTTTAAATTAAAACCAAACAATAAAAAAAAAAAAAACAATAAAGAAAAACTAAACTAAAAAAGAACATATTCTTATTGTCAATGCTAGCATATGTATATATGTGTGTATGAGAGAGAGGGTAGAGATCCAAAATTGATTTTAATATGCTACTAGAAGTCAATTAGATCTTTTGTGTTTAGATAAATTTTAACTATATTGTAATAAGTTGAATTGTTTGGGAATATTCAAAGTTTTGAATAAAAAATAAGTGTTGATGTGAGGTAATTGATTATTTTGACAATTGTAAAGATTGTGTTTGTTTGGAGAATTGTTTAGATCTACTATTATTAATTAAAAAAAAAATTTGAAAAATATTGAATACAAAGATTGTATATTATTATATTTTGTATTATACTAAAATTTAAAAAGAAATATACTCTCTTCGTCTCGGTGCAAGGTTGACGTTTACTTTTTACACGTAGATTTTTTAATATTAGTATTATAATGGGTTGTAGTGAAAAAGAAGAAAATACCACTATTAGTATTATGTAACATAAAAGTAACAGCATTTGTGTAATATAGTGTAAGTTTGAATAGTATTTATTATCTTAGGTAGATAGCACAATTACTAAATTAGAAAATGGTAATCATATTTTGAAATGGACGAAAATGAAAAATGACAATCTTTCAATGAGACGGAGACAATATATGAATAATATAAAAATAATTTATTATCTCTGTCATTCAAATTTATATTCATTTTTCTTTTTTTTCATTGCCATTAAAAAATAGCATTAAAATATATATATATATATATATTAAAATACTCGACTGTGTTTGTTTGTGGGTTTGGATTTTGGGGTTTGAATTTTTTAATAGTAAAAATTTGAATTTGAATAATTATTTTATACGATATAAATAGATGATGATATCATGTTTTTAATATAAAATAATTTTATAGTATAATATAAAAAAATAAAAATAATTATTTGATTTGATATTAAAAAAAAAAAAAAAAAGAAGCAAAATCTGAAAAGTAAAAAATAGTGTAAATTCCACGAAACAACACAATTATTTCTTAGTGTTTTAATATATCCAGATAAAGTGACAAATAAAGTTTATTATTACACTCAGACAATGTTTAAAAGCATTGACTAAGGGATAATACATAACCATTTTTAAATTATATAATAAAATTCAAATTTAAAATAAAAATTATAAGCTGCTAAAATTTTAGTTTTTCTTTCTCATTTTAATTTTTTCAAATATACCTTAATGTTTTGAATATTTGAACTAAATTTTTAGGAATATTTGAATTAAATATTTGTAATAAAAATAATTTTATTAAATTCAGAAGAATGGCTAAATACTTAAATTTTAAAAGTTTTACATATATATTATATAATAAAAATAGAAAATTAAAACAATTAGGGACCCAACACTCTTGACCCCTAATAACTACACCAATGAGTCTTAAAATATTATAAATATAGAACTTAAATATATATGTTTTCTCCGTCTCGAAATTATAGTCTTGGTTGTGTTTGGCACGAAATTTAAGAAATATTTATATTATATTGACAGAGGGTAAAAAGTATAGGTAAAAGACATTTTTACCCTTGTAAGCGTATTAGTGTAAAATGTAGTGGCAATTGTGTAATAATAATGAAAGAGTAATGATAGTTATACAGTGATATAGTAATTTATGAAAATAAGACTATTGTTTTGAAACGGACAAAAATAGTAAACATAACTATTGTATTAGGACGGAGGGAGTATTAATTATGACTAATCAACAATCTAGACTACACTTAGATATGTAACATTAATTACTTGTAATATTTTATGTAAATAAAGTTTATTTTATATTATATATATATATATTGATTATCTATTCAGTTTTTTTTTTTAAATATATATTAAATAAAGTCAATGATATGGTGGATCATTTTTAATAGTTGTCGACTAAAGAGAGGGTTAGAATATATAATTTCTTTTTTATATAGAACCTTTTAATAATTATTTATAACATGGTGATTCATGTGTTAATAAAATGTAATGTTCGTATTTTAAATAAAAGATTCTTCATAACTATTATAAAAAATAAAAATAAAAATTATACAATATAGTATATAATAGTTCTCCCTCCGTCTCATAATAAAGTATTCATTTTTTCATTTTAATCTGTCCCATAACAAAATATCCTTTTTTTTTTTTTGGTAACTATACTATCTACCTAACATTACAAATGCTCTTACAACTTACAATATATTACATAAATGTCATTATTTTTATATCACACATACTAATAAAGTTATTTTAGTCATTTCTACTTTATTCATACTACATTCCAATATAATACTAATATTTTTAAAACTACGTGCAAAAAGCAAATGAATATCTAATTATGGAACGGATGGAGTATATGTTTTATCTATTCACAAAAAAAAAAAAAAAAAAATCAACAAAAATATTATATTTTTTATATTACCAATACAAATTTTCACGTCTAACATAAAAAATGCATCCATAAAAACCTTTTGATCACCTATAAATATTAACTTATTTTTTTATCGGAATAAAAATATTAATCTTTTAATTGATGCATATATGGATTTCATATTGCTTTCATACTACAAAATTCATGATTTGGAGGCAAATTTGTTAAAAGAAAATTTGTAATTATTATTTTGAATAAGTTGTTTATAACAATATCTCATGCCTAACAAAATTAATTTCGTCGCATATCTATATATCTATTTATTTTTTACACAGAGTTTTAAAAATATTAATATTATATTGTGATAAAGTAGAAATAAAGGTAAAAAGACTAAATTAATCCTATTAGTATTGTATGATATAAAAGTAATGGCATTTGTGTAATATATTCTAAATTGGAAGGGTATTTGTAATGTTAGGTAGATAGTACAATTACTAACAAAAAATAGATACTTTGTTATGAGACAGACCAAAATGAGAAAATAGATAAATTGTTAAGGGACAAAATGAGTATATCTTATGTTAGTATATTAAAATAAATTGTACTATGGATTGCATATGACTATATTATATGTTGTATTTCTATTATATTAAAATAATTACGTTTTTTTTTAATATCGCGTAAGTTTCTATATCATATGTTATATTAAACTATGTCATATGTTACAGTAAAATATTTTACATTTAAAATATTATATCAATATATATTTATATTACATTAAATAATTATTTAAATTTAAAAAAAAAATCAAAATTGCAACCAAAACCCTCACACAAACATTTTTAATATGCAATTTTCATATTTCAAAGAAAAATACACAACTATTCCTACAAAATATAACATCAATTTACTATTTACATACAAACTACAAACATAAACACACTTAATGAAGTACAAAGGCAATTATGCGTTTCTTTAACATCAAATTTAAAATTTTTACTATTTAAATTTTACGTTTTCTAAAAATATATATATATACTTTTTCACAAAATATCTCATTATATATTATTTTAGCTTTATATTTTTTATTTTAATAATAGTGGGATATGACACAGTCAGTTTATATTAAAATAAATAATAATAATAAGTTGTGTTCTTCCGAAATTTTATTTTAAACTTTTTTTCCTATATAATAATAATAATGTAATCAGTTTGTTATTTTAAGCATGAATACTAAAAATCAAATAAAAAAAAAAAAGCATATTTGTAACATATAATTTCACACGAGCTATATTATAAAATAAATATAAATTATTTTTTTAATCTCGTACCTATTCCTCTTATTATTTTAGAACCATAACTAGACTTTATATTAAGTTACTTCCACAATTATACCTGAAAAAAGAACATTTTATAAGAATTATTTTAGAGTCATAACTAAAAATTTTGTTAGAAATTATTTGTAAACATTATTTATGTATCATCTACATAATCTCCAACATGAGCCTAAGTTGCCACATTAACTACTCCAGATTATGAGTACTATTTCTGCCAAAAAAATAATAATAATAATATTAATTATAAAATTAATTCAATACAGAATCTATTTATGATATTAAAATGGTAAGAGAAGAACCTAAGGTAAAAATTTGGGCCGGCAAAAATTAATCCGACCTGATAATCGGATTCGAACCTGACCTGAAATAGTTGGGTTTGTGTTGAGATTTTCGACTCAATTAATAATTGGATCAAATTTGCTTAATCCATTTAATTAAATAGATCTGGATAAAGTCTACATTTTCGACTTGAAAATAATTCATCATGTTTAATTAATATTATTTTAAATTTATATATATTTTTAAAATTTTATCAATACAATTCAATATTTATGGCCAATTTTTATAAAAATAAACAATAAAAAATAAAGGATTATGTTGTGTACTGTTACGTAGTATTTGTTAATTCAATTCTTGAATATCGGTTTCATGATATGAATAAATAATTTTTTGCTTTAATATGTATATATATTATGTATTTGAAAATTTTGTTAGTATAAATTGTAATTTTAGATTAAAATTTAAAATTTTTAAATTTAAACGAGTTATATGAATCAGATTCAGGTTAATCCAATTAATAAAAAGTCATGTTAAAATTGCAAATATCAACTCATTTAATTAAATAAGTCATGTTCAAATCAAAAATTTTGTAACCTTTTTAAGCTGATCGGAACTCGATCCGATTCGTGTGTCAGCCCTAGTAAAGATATTGGGAGTCCATTATGTGCACAAATCTCTATACATATATTTTAATTGAAGAAGTTACTTCCAATATTTTGATATTATATATATATATATATTTCTAATTCCTTTTTTATTTATAAATCGTAGGTGGGGTTTGCATTTAGTTACCAGCGCACATCATTCGAGTTTGTTAGATCTATTAAATAAATTTTTTAATGAGAATATTGTTTTACAAAAAAATAATTAATTAATTAAATAAAATACATATTTGATATAAAAACATTACTTCTTAAAAAATACATTCAATAAATAATTAAGAATTCGATTTTTAATTGAAAATATTAATGTATATTTATATATCAAATCGAATCAAACTGAACTTCAATTATATATATTTAATTGTACAACTATATTAATATAAATTTGTAACTATAATACTATCGATAGAAATATATTTAAAAAAAATAAAACTCAACCGAACAAATATCTAATACTCCCTCCGTCCCATTACAATAGTCTTGTCTAGCATTTTTATCCGTCCCAAAACAATAGTCTCATTTCCATAAATAATTATATCACTATAAAATTACCCTTATTTTTTTATTATTATTACACAATTGTCACTACTTTTTACATTAATACATTCGCAAGGGCAAAAAAAATTTTTACCTGTACTTTTTACGCAGTGTCAAACACAACCCATACTATAATTTTGGGATGGAAGGAGCATATGATACATGTATTTAAATCAAATATTTTCAATTAACTTAAAATTCATTAGATGATTCGGCAGTTATATTTGAATATTTCGCCAAATACATAAGCCAATGCTTCGATAATTTGAATAAATTTGTGTTCAAAACTTTGAAATACTAATCTTAAAATGAATTTAAGGTAATTTGACATCACATACTAATATAGCGCCACGTATTTTATACTTCATACGTTTGCTTCTAAGGGTGACATTTACATTTTGCGTCATTGTACTTAACATTAAAAATATTCTTATATTTGTTTAATTTTTTTCTTTTTTTTAAAAAAAAATTCATTTTATCAGTATTATAAGACACTAATTGAAGTATTTTTGCAATTTTTTTAATTTGTACTATATTTTGATATAATAATTAATATTTAAAAATCAACACCAAAAAAGTAAATAACTCTCTTAGAGTCGAACGGAAATAGTACTTTGTCTGTCAAGTAGGTATTTCAAGTGTTATCGACATTATACTAATTAATTATAATCAGCACAACAACTTGAATTTTGAATTTACAAGATTAATAATGAATTATAAAAACATTTGAAACATGCTTTAAATACATATATTCCTTTCGTCTCATAGTTAGATATTAATTTCCTTTTTAGACGTAATTTTAAAAATATTAGTAATATTGGGATATAGTAACAATAAAATAGAAATTACTAATATAATCTTATTAGTACGTGCGATATAAAGATAATGACATTTGTATAATATATTGTAAGTTGTAAGGATATTTATAATATTAATAGATAGTTCAGTTACTAACAAAGAAAATATATACTTTGTTATGGGACGGACTAAAATATACGAATGTATTAACCAAAAGCCACACTTCACCACACTGAATCGATGTGTTCGACTCCTTGCTACTAATTTTATTTTCAATTTCTTTTAGAAAAATAATAAGAATAACTTAATTTGTCTGTCACATTTCTAATTCACCGATTCTTGACGATTTAGGAGGCATGGTGACATTGTCCAAAAATGACCGGAAAAGAATGAGCGCTTGTCTCGGTCGATGTAGAGGCACCTCGTGCCCGGCACCTCTAACCGTCACGAGTGTCAATCCTTCGTAAACTTGGCTCCATCCGGCGACCTGCGTGCACAAATTAATCATTTTATCTTTCTCGAGTTCTTGAAAGAAGCATTTTCGAATAAATGTGACTCAATAATGCAGCAAGGTACTTTAAGGGTGTGTTTGTTTGGAGGTTTGTATTTGAGTTTTAAATGGTAAAAATTATAATAATTATCTAATGTGATATTTTGATGTAAAATTAAAAAATACATTTGAATTGAGATGGAGAATTTAAAAAAAAAAATGTTTTGATTTCATTTTTATTTTGGACAAAACTGCACGAAACTGTGTCAAATTCTCGTACTTACTACGTCAAAACTTTTATAAACTTTGTGCCCAAATTACAAATGAGTTTCAAAAATCTCAATTTTCAGAAATTTCAAATATATTCATTCATCTTATATTTAGCCTCGATGAACAAAACTATTTACCAGTATATTTATAGTTTCCTGAGGCTAAGAATGAGTATACTTGTAATTGTAATCGAAGGATTTAAAAATAAAGATTTTCAAGCTTATTCGCAATTCGGGCACATACAGGTCAAAACACCATTAAATAAATACGGTCGAAAGGGTATGAAACCACGTGTGAGTTTTGTACAATGTTACCTATTTTTGGAAAAAAAAAATTTGAAAAAATAATAAAAATTCTCTAAAATCCGTCAAACAAAGGCACCCTAGATCTTTTGTTCGAATTTGAAACCAATCGAAAACGTATAGATAGAACTCTACGAAACGCAAAACACCTTAAACAAAACCACAACTTTTGCGGCTATATTTGCCGCCAAAAAGTTGCAATTTTCAAAATTTTTAGAATTTTTGTAATTAGAAACTCTCTAATAAACAAAACGATAGCATGATATCATAACTTTTTAGCAGCTAATGGAGTAAACTACGAGGATAAAAGTCGCAATTTTTTCTACTTACCCGCCCATTGTCGTACCAAGGGTACCATTTTTTCAATGTCGGGAGCTTCAAGGCATCGATTGAATGCCGTGTCGCCGTGACAGGTACCACAGAATCAGTATCTCCGCTGAAACAAGAACCTTAAACATTGTCAACTATTTTGTCGGGAGCATAACTTCTAAGAAAGCAAATGAATCACAAAACGATCTAGTTAGTACACGAATGATGGATTCCAACCTTTGAGTGAAGAGTTAGCTTGTGTTCTTTTGTGAGTTTTACAGCAAATTTTTACTATTCAGATTCTTTTTTTTCCTCCAAAAATATCCAATCAAACAATTACTTTTTTTTTATATATTATACTACAAAATTATTTTATATTAAAAATATCACATGTAACAACTATTTATATCAAATCAAACAATTATTTCAATTCAACTTTTTGCTATTAAAAAATCCAAACCCACAAACAAACATTCTTAAGCACTACAATGTAAACATAACACAGCATGTTCGCGCCTGGAACTCATTTTCTACACGTTCACCATTTTTCGACTAAAAATTTGCTTGGTTTGTTCGACAGTTTCATAGCAAAAGTATGAATAATTTCAAGATTATTAGTCGAAACACGAAATATCAAGTGTACTCTCATATCATATATATGTTCGAGCATTTTTTTTCGCACAATGAAATCTAAGAGGAATGATGCTCGAATTCGAAAGAGTCGTGAATGGAATTTACATACCTAAATACCCAAATTCTAAGGCCTGCAGCAATTAGTTCTTGATCAATCGGAAGCATCGATCGAGGAGCATCTCCCCAGTAGTCGCCGCCAACCAAATCGCTGCGCAGAGAAGAAAGTTTATTCATTAAAGCAGCTAAGTCGTACACTTAAAGGTAAGAAAACCTGCAACGTTAGCTCGACCTGCATGTCGTCCATGGATAGGAAATCCCCGTGACGTTGGCGTGTAGCGCTTTCTGAACTTCCGGAAGATTGAAGTATATGCTGGAATATCGCTCGGTGCACGGGTCATATGCTCTCGACATCCATGGCTGCATCAAACAAAATCGACAAGTGTTTGCAAAGTTTCAGAAAAATGACAGTAAAATCTGGACTAGGATCAGCACATTAAAATCAAATTTGTGACATTTATGGTTCAGAGTTCGCACGATCTAACCATGTTTAAAGTAAAAAGGTGTTATCCTCGACAAAAACCGAGTAATTTCTTGCTAGTAATTAGGATTCTGTCGAGGTTCGGGGTTAAAAATTTAGTATGTGTGCAGGTAATGTTAACGACTAAGTGTACACAGATACTTTTTTAAAATTTTTACCACTATTCTTCTACATAACTTTTTCAAAAATATCACATCAAATACTTAACTTTTACAATTTTCGAAAATTTTCCAAACTCCAAAACTTCCACAGCTTTTATCTAAATGCATCGTTACTATCGTTCGCTTACTTACCTGATTCAAAATTAACTTTGCGAAAACTTTGGCATTCCCTAAAAATGTTTCGACAATATTGACTCTTGTCTGTGTAAAAAAAGCTTTCTGGCGAATGGTAGGGCGAGCATTCATAGTCTTAAAAGAAATTTGCATCCAAGGAAAACAATTTTAAACAATTAAGAGTTCTACTTCATGAAGCCTCGATTACTCATACTATTCGAATGATCTATAAAACTAGGCAAAAGATTTTCAAGAAATGTTAAATAAAGACTTACATAGTGACCCCTTAGCGAGCGCCTAAGCGAAGAAGAGCTATTGCAGGGTGGGGTGTAGATGCTATACGGGTCGATGTTCCCCATCTCCTTATCAGCAAGATCAAGAGATCGATTGCAAGCACTCGAGGGATGTGTAGAGGAGTCAAAATAGCATGTGGTTTTCAATGTTTTGTAAGTCGAATCTGAAATCAAACCATGAGCCCACCAATACTCGAAGGTACCGACATAATCATGGTAATCATCAGTGACGGCATTTCCCACCTGAGGAGAGACACACAAGTTTTCGAAATGAATTACATAAAGATGAAAAGATTTCTGTAACTAAGCTAGAAATTGAAGTTTCGATAAAAAAATGTATTTGCAATAATACCATGAATCCCTTCAAATTAATAACCGGATTTTTAATCCCTTTGTTTCTTTGATAAACTAGCTGAGCTAACTGAGGAACATAATGACCTGAAAAAAAAAAACATGTAAGAAGCCGAGTATTAGATAATATGTCGATAGTTACGCCATATGATTTTGTAAAGGTTAAAAAAGACTATATTACACACCTGCATAACTTTCTCCAACAATGTAAAAATCCCTGTGTTTGTACTGAGGAAATCTCTCGAACCAATTCACCAGAAATGCATATGAATCTTCGGCTAAAAAGCAACCAGATACAAAAAGTTAGAGGCTAGCATTCTAACTAAGCAAGAAAACTTCTGAAGTCCATTAAAATGGTTTTTTCTCAGCATGCAGAAATCAATGAATGGAGATGAATATTTGGTTCATGTTCTGTAAATCGAATTCCACTATTTATGACGATCACAAGGCGAATAACTATTGAAAATTAGAAAGAAAAGAAAGAGATCTAAAAGAACAACCAATGCAAATAAATATTTCCCGAGCAAATAGTACAGAGATCGATGAATCTCCGAGCAATACCTTAGTCCCTACAAATATTTTCTTAATGGATTTTTAAGCTGATGTAGTATGATGTAACGAAGATAGAATATTAAAACAAACTTAAATGTCGATCATTATCAAACATGGTCTAATCCATTACAATCTCTCGCATTCTTCTTTAATTTCTACTTCTCTAACCTCCTATTCCCTATTCATAACAAAGCTTTATGGGTAAGATGAAATGTGTCAAACCAATGAACCATCCTCGTTAAAATCTGTCAAATTTGTACCCGAATCCATGATCCACTCCTTTAATGTTCTCTTTCCCAATGACTGTGTAAGGATATCTCCATCCTATTCAACTACTTCAAGTTCATCTTTACAAGGTCCATTTTCTCGTGCATTGTTCTTGATCATCTTCCTAAATTCGACAAATGTCTTTAGCTTGAACGGCACCTAACAAGTTTTGATGTCCCACTTCCATGAGATCATCGTCTTCTTCCTCTTCAAGCTTATCAACTTTATAATCTCATCGACAATCTCTCAAAGATTTTGACAATGTAGGATAAAGTGATGTAATTATAGTTCTAACTGCTTAAACTTCAGACATCCACCACAAAATCGGGCTCAGCCATCTTTTCAAATCTCCAACCATTCGAACAATCTTAATCTAATATCATTTGACAGAAAATTCGGGAACTTTCACGTGCCTTTATTTGGCAAATTCCTTATCTTCCCTGTCCAAGATTTTCATGGATAGTTGGACTGATCTTAAAAAACAACCAATGCAAACAAATGCTTCCAAGTAACACAATCATTCGAGTTAACAAGGCCTCAGCAAAAATCTCACTTTCGAAAAATAGAGATTATGAACACTCCCACACAATTCCTCTCTCTCTCCCTCAGCTAATATTTTTCTTTCTCTTAACTTCTTACTTCATACATTTTTCCAATGTACCATACTCTGTTTGAAAGATTTTGATAAATTATCACTATTCATACAAAATTTTCCACCCCAAAACATCAAATCAAATACTAATTTTTCATTTCTTATATTATACTCTCTCCGTCAGCCTCTAATGGTCACATTTACCTTTTGTGTCATTGTACTTAACATTAAAAATATCCTTATATTTATATAATGTTATACAAATGTCCTTCTAGACACTAATTGAAGTATTTTTTCAATTTTTTCTTAATTTGTAGTATGTTTTGATATAATAATTAATATTCAAAAATCAACACACAAAAAATGCTCTTAGAGCCGGACGGAGGTAGTACTAAAAATCAATTTTATATTCAAAACATCACATCAATACTTATTTATATCACATCATACAACTATTCCAATTCAAATTTTTTACTATTCAAATCCAAACCTCAAATCTAAACCACTTCAATCTTATACCATATATAACTAAAGTGACTTCTACATGGAACTTTAAAAATGAATGAAATCTAATTCTATCAAAGTCCAAATTCCAACCAAAAATCCTCACACATCACAATGCAAACAAAAAACACAAATGAAATTAGAGTCGGAAACAGTACTTTCAACGCAATTAGAGTTGGAAGCCAGACTCCGAACTGAACAAAATCTAGACAAATGATAAACTTTATCGAAACCGAAAACAAATTTGACGAAAAATAAATTCAAAGAAATTGCGGCTGACCTCGAGATTGAGTCTATAAATAGATGTTATTCATAACATACTATATAATCAAATAATAACTACACAATCAACATAACAGAAATCTAATCTAAATCATAAACTAAATATCTAAAACATATTCAAAACATTTCAACAACCCCAACTTCCAAATGCATGCATTACCTGTCCTACTGTCGCCGGCAGTCCGCAAATCCGACGAAGTATTCGAATACGAAAAACCAACACCAGCAGGCGACTCCAAGAACAGCAAATTTGCCACTGCAAAACAAAACATGTTTACTAATCTCATAAAAAAAACTCAAAATCACCACAACAAACTTCAACAATCAACATCAATCTACACACATTTGTTCCAAGAATAAGGATTCAAATAAAGTCCCCTCCCATCAGAATTAATCCTAAAAGGCCCGATTTCTTCAGCAGCTCCATAAGCCACAGAGGAGCAACCAGGGCCGCCATTGAGCCACAAAACCAGTGGCCGTAACTCAGGTCCTCTTTCTGCCGGAGCTTCAGTTAGCCAGTAGAACAGTGCCCTGCCTGCCCGGCGATTCACCGTTACATAGCCGGAGTACTGCCGGAATCCGACATTCGCCGGCTGCCCTGGCAATTCAGCAATTTTATCCGAATCGAAGTGGCGCGAACACTTCCCCAAGGTAAGAATCAACAAGAAGCTGTAAGAGATCGACAGCAACCGGAGCTCCATTTCTGCGAAATTGAAGATTGATTCGAAAACCTAACCTTAATGCTCCTGATTTCAAGCAGCATTTACAAATTACAACCGATGGCTCAGTCGATGAGCACGAGTTAGTATCATTAGATTCATTTAATTGGTGAAAGTAGACATGAGAAGACGGAAAAAAGCTGAAATGGGCGTTGCAGAAATATAGCTGGAAAGAGAGGGAGGAAGTGATGGCGATGGAGGTAATAATCGTAATGGGACAGGAGAAGCAGTAGGCAAAGAGACAAAACAGAGTTGTTAAAGGAATATCATCCGCCATTGCCGTTGTCATTAGACTCATTACCTCAGCAGAACAATAATTGGTTTGAAATTTCGTCATCGAACAAAATAATTGGTTTGAATTTAATTAACGCGCTCGCACCACCATCTTTGGTTTATCCAAATTTCAATTTGTCCTTTTTATTTTCTGATATTTATTGGAGTACTATTTAATTTGCTTTTGCCATATAAAAATAAATATTTTATATAATTTTTTTATTTTTATTTTAAATTAAAAAATATTATACACTTTAATCTCATTTAAAATTTTGTATATTTTTTCATTTTAATTATACTAATTAGTTATCTTAATATTCATTTAAAAATATTTTTATTAAATAGTAATTATTTTCACTAATACATTATTTACGGTAAAAGGGACATCGCATCTGGAACATAATATTTTAATTATAGTGAATAGTTAAAAATAATATAAAAATAATTTTAATTTTGCTTTTTTGGTATAAAATTAACGATGTCATGGTAAAATAAAATTATTTGTAGAAAAAAATGGGATTATAATTACTAAAAAAAATACTTACTCGGTCACTTAGGGTGTGTTTGTTTGGGGGTTTGGATTTTGAGTTGGAATTTGAATAGTAAAAATTTTGAATTTGAATAGTTGTATGATGTGATGTTTGAATGTAAAATTTATTTTTAAGTATAATATAAAAAATGAAAAATAGGTGTTTGATTTGATGTTTTTAGGGGGAAAAAATGGGATGAATAGTAAGATTTTGTAAAAGTCTTACAACCGAACACACCCTTAATAAGTTTACATTTAGATTTTGCGTCATTATACTTATATTAAAAATATTTTTATATTTATATAAAGATATAATAATTAATATTTAAATACCAACACACAAAACACAAATGTAAACTTTAAAGTGGACGGTAGTAATTAATTCGTAATTCAATAACCTAAAATAAAAATATGTATACAAATATTATTTTATATATAATTTACAAAGGATAATTTTCAAAATAATTTTATACATTGTAATAAAATATTTATTATTCTTTAATCAATTAAAATATATATATATATATAATTTTGGCTAAAAATAAATGATAAAGATAATCACACAATCTTTGATGTACGAGGCTGAATTAGACCATCTACATCAATGAAACTCATAATGGGTTTCTTCTCTCTCTTCTCCTCAGCATTATATTATATTTCTGTCACGTCATGGTAGAAATCTATATCATTTTATACCTGCATCAAAGAAACTCATTTTAACAAATTTTAATTTCTTTTTTTTTTCTATATTACTAAATTATCAATTTTTAAAATAATTTAAATAATAATAATTTTATCTAATAAACATATTTATTAATATTTATTTAATAATTTAATTTATATGTTATAACAAATACTCCCTCAATTCCACCACAATTGACACTATTTCTATTTTTGTCTGTCCGTAATAATTGATACCTTTTTATTTTTAGTAAAAATTATTAAATCAAAACATATTTAACAAATATAAATCAACTTAATTAACTACTTAATATACAACATCATAAATGATATAAGACTCACTCAAAACCCCTTTATTTCTACCTCTCTCATCACAACAATAAATATTTTTATTTATATTTAAAACTACACATCTTTTATAAAATTGATTTATATTAATTATAAATAAACAAAAATATTTTTTTTATTTACTTGTATTATAGAAAATTTTATTCTCTACAAAATGATATCCATATTGCATATATTTTTTAATTGCTATATAATTTTTAAATATTTAAACATATATTTTAATTTTTTAATCATATATATTAAATTTATTTTAAAAATATAAATATTATTAATTATAAAAAAATAATACTATAATAATATCATGACTAATTATTATTAACTAATTAAACATCTTCACCTTAAATGTCCCTAATCAAATGATTCAATTCTGGTGGGAGGAATGGAGTATTTATTAAGATGATTATTATTATTATTATTATTATTATTATTATTATTATGTTATTATTTTAATTTTTTTTTCTAAAATACAATTAGTAATTATACCTATTTTAATTATTTTTATAATTTATTGAATAAATTATAAGATCATTACAAAATTAAATTATTATTAATTGATTATATTTAATTAAAATTTCTATTAATTAAAAATATGCCAATATTTATTTATTATAATAAATTAATTATATTTAAATATACAAAAATATATATTCAAGTATTAGTATTATTTTATAAAAAATAAAAATTTATGTAATATAAAAATATTAATATATATAATTTAAATAATATATATATAAATCTATTAAATTTTTTTTGCCACATATCTCAATTAAATTGGGATACATGACAATACTCAAGTACACAACTCTGACATTGACAGTTACTGGACAGAGCTATCGTATTTTTATTTCAATCTACAATTTTATTTTTTATTTTTAAAAATATATTTTACAAAATGGTATTGCACTGTAACAACGTCATAAATTGATATCAAATATAGCGCAAGATTGAGTGGATTTATGGCGCTGGTTGGAGATGCTCTTAGTCGTCTGTGACGTCCATGAGCCTCCTTGTTTAGGTACCATTTAGAATCATGTCCAATAATATACTTTCTCTTCCAACACGCTGCAACGTTGCTGCAATATTTTTAAATTTAAAATAATTAATTACATATATATATATATTATTTTATCACATTACTCAATTAAAAATAAATAAATGTACCCGACGCCTCAAGTCACCTGTCACACATGGTTCATTTAGTGTGACTTTTCCGTCAGGCCTGATCTGCAAGGTATTAGGTTCGGCCGGGGATTTATCCAGTACGCACTTTCGGATAATGGCTGCGGATTCCCACTTCATCCAAAAAAAAATAATAATAATAAATTAATAAATAAATGTATATTTCTCTTTCAAATTACATCACCTAATCTTTAAATTATTTCAAATTATCTTATTTAATACTATATACTTAAATATCCGTGCTAAACTCAAATATTGCACAATATTTAGGCAGGAGGAAGTACATTGTTAGTTTTTATTTTTCATAATAATATTAATAATATAAATTTTCACTAAAAAAAAATATTTTTAAGAGAGAGAAGGAATACAATATATCATATCCAACATCATTTCAAAAACATTAAAATTAAAAAAAAAAAAAAGATAAAATAAATAAATCAAACAATAGACACCAAATCATTTTTTAGAAATACACAATTCTTTAAACAGTATTTGAAGGCCTAAAAGAGAATCAACCAAAAGGCCTCATCAACAAACAAATTCAACGAATTTCAACTTAAGCCTCATAATATCATCATAAACACAAACTTAGTTCAACAACACCTCATTTCATCTCATCTCACTCCCACATTTATTCATCTTTTCTTTGGCTTCATCAATCTCAGAAAAAACTCATTAAATCAAGAACAAGAAGACACTTTAGCAGATCAAAAGCATCAAACCTGATCAAGAACACATCATCAGTTCGAAGGCGAGGTCATCGCAACGCTAACCGCATTCCAATCAGCCCTTTCCCGGCAAAGTCCGTCAGCAGCAGCAAGTTGATTCATCTGGACAACTTCCTCTGACTGTTTCTTGGCAGCAACGCTCTTCAGACGATGCCTCTCTGCCCTGGAACCGATCACCTGTCCTAGAATGGACGCTGCGATCGTGAATGCCATCGCAGACTTGGGCATCAGCACTGATTTCCTAAGCATGGCTATGAATGGGACGGCGGCATGGACAGCAGCGAACCATGATGGTGAGAATTTCTCTGTGTGTTCTCTCCAGATTCCGAGGGGGACATTCGCCGCCATTCCTAGTAGGCCTATCACAAGTACTTTTGCAGGTAGAGGCTGCGGGCGGAGGTTTTTGGCGAAAGCAGTTTTCGCTAGAGCACTTCTGGCAGCAACAATGGCGGGAGGACACCTGTATTTCATGCCGGGAGGAGGCTGAAGGACCTTCGCCACAAGAGGGAGGAAGTTGCCGACTGCCCGGTATGACTTTGCTATCGGGCAGTTCCCATTTCGCAACCACTCGTCACCCATTGCTTCGTGGCTTGATTTCCCGTCCTGAAAGATGAAAGAAAATCATCATAGGAAGTACAGAATATAGCGAGTCCATAATAAAATCCGGTAAAAATTGCAACCTTCAAGATCGGGGAGAAACAAAGCAAAAACACCCAAATGGCTCTTTAAAGATCGTCTCATATATATTAATAATTTAAAACTGGAAAATTTGTTTCGAACCCACCTATTGTTTCAAAAGTCTCCACTATTCTCTCTCATGATATGTCTCGTATTTTAGAGAATATTGCACAAAGTTTCTTAAAAATTGTACGAGACTTTCTCGTATTTTTGAAAATACTACACAGAATCCCTTTTAGAGGATTCACGGGGTTCTGTGCAATTTTTCTAAAACACGAAAGAGTCATACGTAGTTTCTAATAACAGGAAATAATGATGCAAACTTTTCAAATCATAAATGGATTTTGAGCAATTTTGCCTTTAAAATTATACGGCTGAAAAGACTGAAAAAATTGGGCTATTATTGCGAGTAGACATAAATTGTGTGATCAAAATTAAGTTCCAGCTAAGTTATAGCATCAAAATAGTAATGAGCATGTCTCGGGTAACTAGAAATGCAATTTTAGGTTCTCGACTACCTTCGAAGAAGAATCCTTTGATTTTTTGTTGTTCTTCTTCCACATCTCAGAGAAAGCATCAAAACCAAAAGGTCCCCCGAAGCCGAAAGAGGAGAGGCTGATGGTGGCTGCTTTCGCTGCCAGAGGGTTGAACTGCGCCGGTGCTTGCTCAGATGGAAGCTTCTCGGTGCAAATAAATGACTTCCCAGAAAGTGGAACGACGCCGTTCTGTCCATGGAAAAGCCTGAATGCCATATCAAAATTGGGACCATCCTCAAATATAGGACCTTGGGATTTGGCGTCTCGTTTCTGAAATAAGAAGACATATTATATTGCCTTGCCAGGAAGAAATGAAATGCAAACATGGGAAGTGAAAAGAGGTGCTGAACTTACGGGAAGAGGCAAAGCCATTGCGGATGAGAAGGAAAAATGAGTCGGTTCATTGATGTTTCTTAAAAATGGACACCGGAAAATGTCATCATTGAAATTTGACGATCCCCAATTCCCGTCTTCGAAGGAAAAATTCATTTTGGAAAATGATAATGTCCTCCTGCGCAAGAATGAACAGAATCTGAAAATCACATTTGCTGATACAATATATTGACTACAAAAGAAGGCTCTCGGAAGTAACCATTAAGCTCAAACAAGGAATACGAGCATTATTACGCTCGAAACACTACGCCCTCACTGAAATTCAACTCTGTATAAAGCAAATTCTCATTAATGCTACATTGAAGAGTATTTCATATAAGGTCCCGTTCGGTGGGATGGAGTTGGTTTCGAGGGTGAGTTTTAAATGGATGGATTTGAATTATTTTGTATTTGAAATACTTTATAATTAAAATCTATCGTTTGGTTGTAAGGAATATTTGAGATGACACAATATAAAGATTATTTGAAACATTAAAGATGATAGATTTGAAATCCACATACAACTTTGAAGATTTTTAACTTATTGAGTTCCCAAACAAAATGAATGAATTTGGTGGAGTCATTTGAAATACTTTTAACCCAAATCTCTCCAACCAAATGAGGCTAAGGGATTTGACAAAATCCAAATAAAGCCGACTATACCAAAAAAGTGCAACTTACAAATCGAAAACAGGCAGCAATCATGTAGTGACTGGGAACTAACAGCCACTCGAAAATTTTCTCGAGAACATTAGAGGTGTGTTTGTTCGGAGGTTTAGAACAACTGAGTTGGGATTTGAATAGTAAAAATTTTGAATTGGAATAGTTGTATGATGCGGTATAAATTGGTGTTGATGTGATATTTTGGGAAGAAAAATTTTGGATAAATAGTAGAATTTTGGCAAAATCCCTCGAACAAACACACGAATTCCGCAAAAATTACAATCAAATTATGGTTCATTTCGAATAATAACAGACATTATTAAGACAGAAATCTGGTCTTGAGTAATGTAAGGAAGTTCAGAAACACAACATCAAGATCCAAAACATTCAAAATAACCCTTACAATAAACCCTAACACATTGTAAAAAGATTAATAACACCAGAAACACTGTCTGTAACATTATTCCCAAAAGAAGAACCCCAATCAGATCTTTCACCATCAAATGCAATCAATTTCCTGATTGTAGAGCCAAATCAATTAAATTTAATCGAATCTAAAACACCTTTCCTTCTAAAATAGTAGCTTCATCCAATTTTATTGACTCATACCAAATAACCTGAAAATTTAAACCTACCAAGAAAAAACCCCAATTCAAACGGAACTGAATTTAAATCTCAGATAAACATCCGCCATTAAAATCACTTGAAGCCATCAAAACCCAAGGACAGACGAATTAGAGAAAGAACCCCAAACTTGACCTTTTCCATACCAGATCATTTCCATAAATTCATATAAAATAAAAAAAAAAAAAAAAATGAAAGAACTCGAACCATAACAAAAATTACCTTCAAAATTAAATCAGCCGATGCTCAAGTCTACGATCAAAAACAGCTTGAGCAAATTGGAATCCTGCGGGAGAGAGAGGGACTTGAAGGAATCAATATATATGCAAGAAAAGACGCAGCCAATGAAGAAGAAGATCGGCTAAACGGCGTCGTTGTGGTCGCAACTACTCCACACGCCCAAAGCAAAGGCGCGTGCACACCGAACGCCTATTTTAATTTTTTAATTTAATTTAACTGAGAAGAAACTCCTTCATTCTGTCTTTATTTGAAAAATAAAATAAAGAAAAAAATTAGGTCAACAATTGTAAGCTGTTCAATAATGTCAGTTCTCAACTAACCCCTAAAGTGGGGCCCATCTAATTAATTTTAGAATATACATTTATTTTAATTTTAAAAAATGATTAATTGACTATCCAGAAGATTTTTAATTTAATTTAAATAATAGTATTTTAATATTAATTAATAAAAAAATATTTATCTTATTTGTTCATAGTATTTTTTTATTTTATTATTTTTCTTTTGTTGAAAGGATGGTATATTTAAATTATATTTTAAAATTTTTAATTAATAATTTTTAAATTTTAATTAAATTTAATTAATTATTTTAATTTTATTTTATAATTATTTGAATTATATAATAATAATTTTTTACTAATATAATTTTTAGTTATTTATTAATTATATTTTATTTAAATTTTGCATCTACCATCAATATAAAAAGTGAAACAAAAAAGTGAATATTTTATGTAAAATAAAAAAAATTAAGTAGTAGAATTTTTTATTTAAAATAAAAAATAAGCAAAGCCTAGTCTTGGATACGTAGTCATAATAAAATTTTGGGTGGATTTATTTGTTATTTTAAATTTTAAAAAATATATACTATTATTCTTTTTACATAATTTTTAATAAAATATAGTATTATTTTTTATTATAAAATATAATAAAAATATTATTTAAACAAAAAAAATTTAAATCAAAATCAAACAAATTTTTCAATAATAGGATGTGTTTGTCTTTTATTTCAATTTATACGTACATTATTTAATTTGTACTCAATACTCAATAAAATATTTTTTTTTATATAAATATGATATTAAAATAATATTATTAACTAAATCTCAAATTCAAATCAAAATCAAATAATTTTTTAATATAACGTAAATAAATATTCACGTAATATTTTAAATATAAAACTAATTTTTGATACTATAATATTTCTTTCATACCAAACATGATGCAACACAACGGCAGAACTAACGGGGTGTTTGACCCCCTAATTAGTTGAGTTTTATATTTTTATTTTGTAGTATTTGTATAATTTTTAAAATTTAAATAATTAGTAATGCCTATAAAAAAAAATTTAACAAAAATATTATTATAACATATATTTAACTCAAACATTTAAAAAATTAAGTTTAAACACTTTAAATATTTAAAAATATTTGAAACAAAAATCAAATAAAAACAACTAAAAAATTGTTCATAATTTTAAAATTTTTATTATATATATTTATATATAAAAAAGTTTCGGCCTTCGCAAAAAAAAATTATGGCTCTGCCACTAATGCAACATTTAGTTTTCGGTACAAGAATTTAACTAGATAATTAAATACAACACATTGGGAATAAAATCATATAATAGAAGAGAAAAGTGTATACTTATTTTTTTACTTGGATAACGAAATTGATAAAATATTATGCATATTTATTAAGAATTAAATATAGTTAATTATTTTATATTTTTTTAAGATTACAAAATCTTTGGGATAAGCAAAAAAAAATAAAAAATTACATAGTATTTGAGACGGATGAAGTATGAAATAATAAATATTTAATTTGATATTTTTAATTTTTTTATGAATAATAAAAATCTTTAAAATTTCACGAGCACAAAATCAAATAAAAATGAATAATACTAATATTATTCTGCATATTGTGTTTTTTTTAGATTAATTTGAAATTAAAAATTTGATTTAAATTTTTGTTTAAACAATATCTTAATGTAATTTTTTATAAAATAATACTCCCTCCGTCCCAAATACCGTGTCTGCTACACTGTAGACACGGTATTTTAGGAGGGGTGTAATTAGTAGATAATTAAGAATGTATTGGTGAAAATAATTATTCAATAATATAAATAATTATAAATTAAGATTAAGATAACTAATTAGTTTAATTAAAATTTTTAAAAAAATAAAATTAAAAAATTTAAAATGAGATTAAAGTGTGTAATTATTATTTTCCAAAAAAGGAAAGTGGCATGGTACGTGGGACGGACAGAAATGACAACATAAACATGGTATTTGGAACGGAGGGAGTAGTATATTTTTAATTCGAATTCAGTAGTATAATTTTTCATTATGAATAAACATAAGTTTATTTAACTTTTCATTATATTCCATGATCATAGTTAAACATATACATCTATATACAAACAAAAAAATTAGACTCACTCAATTTACAAAATTTTATATCCTTATACTATAAAATTAAATATGTCAATTACTATTTTTGTATCTATGTTAATCAGTAAAAAATTTAACATGATCCAAATATGATTTTCAATATGAATCTCCAAACTTAAACACGATACAAATTCTTTTATGTCAAATTCAAATTAGCTAAATTTTATTTCAAGTAACTTAACCCGAACAAGCTTGACACAAAACAAATTCAAAATTTTAAAACTTAGATATTTAAAGATGGAACGATTACTCCCTTGTTTTTCTAAAATAAATATAGAAAAAATAATAAATTAAATAAAAACCTCATAATTTATAAATTATGATAACCGATATTTTCCAAAAAATCATAAATAAAAAGAACTAATCATAAAAGTAAAAATAAATAAATAATTTAAAAATTCAATCGAAAAAATAATTAAATATATCTCAACATCATATTTAATAATTCCAACAACTTGTATAGTTTGAAAAACATATTTTGCATTAATACCAATGCAATATTATTCGAAGATATCTCCATCGTATTATTATTGAAATCGTCCAATATTACACAAGTATATCCTATATATATGAAACAAACATAAATTTAAATATATATATTACTCCATCCGTCTATTATATATCTATCTGTTTACTTTTTGTACATAATTTTAAAAATATTAGTATTATATTGAGGTTTGGTATGAATAAAGTAAAAAAGACTAAAATAATTTTATTAATATTGTGTGATATAAAGGTAATGATATTTGTGTAATATATTGTAAATTGTAAAAATATTTTCAATGTTAATAAAAAATACAATTACTAACAAAATAAATGGATACTTTGTTACGTAATAGACCATAATAATAAAATGGATAGTAAAATGAAGCAATAGTAAAAAAATAATACACTCAACATCTCTTGCTATTTTTCATTAACTCGTAATATTTACAATTATGAAATTTTCAATAATTTAAAAAATCAAAAGGTAGGTAAAGTTTTATTCTGAATTCCTCTGAATATAACAACAATATATTCTTTTGATCATTATTTTTTAGGATTAAAATATCAAAAGAATACATTCTTGCAAGTATAAATAATATATTAGATAATTAATCATTATAAAATAATTAAAACATTAAAATAAGTTAATTTATCAATAATGAGTGTATATAATATATTATTTTTTGTTCAGTGAAGCTGTGTGTTTGTCTTGTGAGATAATTTGAAATTTTTTTTTTATTTTTATGTGAGGTATAGAGAATTATTGAATATAAAAATAATGAATATGCGTGATATATTAATATTTTTTTAGAAAATATGAGTGTATTTTTTTGTTAAAAAACACTTTGACGTGAGATATAGAGAATTGTATAAGTAATATAAAAATAATGGGTATAATATATTAATTTTTTGTAAAAAAAATGTATTTTTGAGAAATTGTAATCTCATTAAAAGAATACACCCTACTAAAACCTTTAAATGATCTTATGATCATTTTTTTTTTGTTTACACAACAATGAATGTATTTATTTTGTATTTTTGGATGAATGCGTTTTTTTATGTAAGGTATAAATAATCGTTTTGGTAATATAATAAATAATATTTTATATTGAATTGTTTACTTTATGTGAGTGAATATATTAATATTATATTTTTTTTATAATATTTATAGAGAATCATGCTAACAAAAATAGATTAGGTGAACAAACTCAATACTTTTATGAAAAAATTGAGAATTTGTACTGACGATACACAAGAAAATGTAGTCTAATTGTTAGAAGAAAAAAAAACTCATGTATCCATCCAATATGAAGAACAATTTAAATTTTATTTATTCAAATTTTGTATTATCTTGCCCGTAAAACTAAGTGTAGAAAAAATATATTCTCTTCATCGTCCAATTGTGTACTCATTTGATTGGACATGGATTTTAAAAAAATTAGATAAAAATAAAAAATTTTACTGTTTAGAGTAAAATAAAATAAAATATGTAATATTTTTATTTAAAAATGAAATAAGAATAAATTTAGATGACAATCAATAAATAAAGTAAAAATAAATTTGAATAAAAAAGAGAGTCCAAAATTTTAATTTAAATGTATGATCAAATACCACAAGAATTGCAAATAAAGTACTATACTTGTCACAATATTAGTCAAAACTTTCTAACATTTATGATATCATTATCTTTATTAATTCATCATCACTACACAAATTTTGGTTATTTTTTTTTGGGAAAAAATTAATATTGATGACAATATAACAAAAAGTTATCAATTTTAGTTATAATATAAAAAAATCATCAATTTTGATCTTATTAAAAATTATTTTAATTAATTTTGGTTCTACCATTCAAAAATCAACAAAAAAGACCTCATGTGGACTAACGAATTCTGATGTAGCAGCTTACCTGACCAAAACACGGGCGTGTACACCATAAAAATTGTTGTTATGTGCAATAACAGACCAAATCAATGAACACTGATGTGCTTTTAACATACATGCGGACATGTGACATTAAATGTCTTTTGGCTTCCTGCAACCAAATACGGTATCATATCAGACTCCGAAGCCACTGCTTCTCAACTCAGACGTTGCCGCAGCGTCGTCCACAGCTTCTATCAGGAGTCAGAGTCAGATCAACATCGATTGTGGACTCAACAACATCAAATTGCATTAACGAAGCAATTATGGCGATTTACCCTCTGGCAAAA